CGTTCGCGACAAAAACACCTTGCGCATTTGAATGCCGTTACGTAACCGAGGGGAAGGAATTGGTTTAAATAAACAACGCGATAAGTATCTTCGCATCCATGCGCACTGAACCGAGACGTTGCGTCAGGACTCGAAAGCAGTCCACAAACGACACCTACGTGCAAAATCTATCGTAATCCGCGAATCGGGTAGCGTTCGTGGAATCGATACCTCGTTCTGGGCGGGGTCGATATCGATGCCCAATATCGGTGAAACCGTTTCAACGTTTCAGCCATGGATCTGCGCTTTTCCTATCGCGAAAGTTTCGTGGGTACGATACTTGATTCGAAAGCTTCGACTTCCGCCTACGAAGGATTGGAAAAGTATCCACTCGGGAAACAGTTCGGCACGGCATAAATCGAGTTGGCAGTTGCTTCAAAAAGCATCGTTCTGAATAATTTCAACGAGGATTTCTAATATAATCCGATATTCGATATAAATATTCGCTGCGCTTAACATGGATTTTAATGTAAATATATTCACAATACAATAATATTTCTTTCAATGGAAATTTATTAATTTTGATAGGAATCTTTGTATTTGATATAATCCGATAGGCCTGATGCAACTCTTCTGTTCAAACTCCAAAAAAATCTGCGAATTATACTACAAATTTCCAAACAATAATACTGGCTACTGATTTCTTTTTATTTGGAAATTTGTAGTATAATTTGCAGATTCGATTAAATACAATGATTCCTATCAAAATTAATACATTTCCATTAAAAGAAATATTATTATATCATTATTATATCATTATTATAACTTGAATTAAAATTCATGTTCAGCGGAGCGAATATTTATGTCGAATATCAGATTATATTATTTGTAATAAAGTGCCTCTACTGTATACTTCTACCGAGTACAAGAGTATCTACCGAAGTCTCCTGAAATGAAAGTATGCTCAAAGGCGACTCACGCCCCCGCAGCCTTCGTGACCGCGTCTCATAATAATCCATAAACGAGTCGAAAAACAATACCCGTCGTCTACAAACAGAAGATTTCTATCGTTCAGCCGAGAGTCTCGTTCCAGTCTGAAAACGTCAACCTCGTTCCAGCGACACCCGTCCCGTAATTCATCAAGTGCGGTTACCCACTAACCTTAACCGAGCGAACAACGATAATAATGGCGGGGCCGATAATAGGTCAGCGTCGGAGAAAGTTTTCGGCGCGTCGTGTCGGTCCGTTATATACCAGGAAGACGAAGCGGGTCCGAAAAGAGCGGCTACGCTGCGCCGAGCCGACGCCCATCTTCTCACGATCCCGCGATCTAGGTCGATCGTCGCCGCGATCTATCCTGGCTCCTCGGCGTTATGTGCTCGGGGAATTAGCGTTTACACTTTGTTAACTTTTCGTGGAAGCTCGTACATCGTTTCGGGGTCAAAATTCGCCCTACTTCCGCGTATATTCCTCTCGTTCACAGTCTGTCGCACGGCAGCGGTATCTTTGTCGAAAATTCATCCGCTCCTGTACAAATTTATGTAAAGTTATGTACAGGAATTGTATTACACGGTTCCTTGATAACGCGAACGACAATTAACGTAGAATATTCGGTGTAACAAGGTTGGTATAATTCAATGTGGCAGGTAATAGAGAACGATTCTTCGTGAAAAAGTGAGTCGAAGGTGCGAAAAGAAATTTTTCGCGCGATCCTCGGTTACTGAGAAACGGATGCCCCGCAAACGCGTGAATATTCGGACTCCATTTCCTCTGAAACGGAGGTCTGTGCGAAAAAATTCCATTTCACCTTTTCGACGTATTTTTTCACGAAGAATAATGTTCTATTAGGTTATATTTGGAAGTGACGCCCATCTTCCGAGATAGAAGCCTGTAAACGTTTCTATCGGCTCCGTGTTAAATAGTACTACTCGGTCACTGTTTATCGTTTCAATTAAAGTTATGGCATCGAGTACAGCGTAAGACACTCTCGCGGTATACCACGAATTACGTTTCGCACGATCGCGGTACAACGAATTGCGCTTGGCACATCCCGTTAGCTCGGCAATCGGCCGAACGGTCCGACGCCGACGTTCCGCGTAACGATCCAGGGAGGCGGTCGCCGATTTCTTTCCCTCTTAATTGCGATTAATCGTGGCCCGTTGCACGGTTTCGAGCACAAAAGCATTTTTCCGCGAAGCCCGTCGACAGTTTCCGCGACGAGCAACTTTTTGCGACGGCTAATTGCTGACACCTGTTCTAATTGCTCCGAACAATCGGTCGCGGTCGCGACAACGATCGCCATTCTAAACCGAGGCTGCGCGATGCCCCTTTCGGTGAGTTTGCTGGGAAAACGCAAACGTTCGAATATGCCAATATGCTATCGACGCATTTTAAAGCACAGAGTTTGTAGACAACTTGCGCGAGAGTGCATATGGTCGTACGTGCATGTAATTATATTTATACATGCTTATGTCGAAGTATATAGTAGATATTATAATAAATTTTAAGCACAGGGAAGATAAAGTATTATTTATCATGTGAAATATGACGAGAGGTCCTGAAGAAGTTAACTTCAATTTTCAAGTTCTCATTATCATTACGTGAAATTCTTAAATGAGACCAGTTCGATCACCCTAAAAATGATATTTGCCTTCTAATATAATTTATAATAATGACTATCGAAGTGGCGTGGCATGCTTGCCATCACTTTGTGCTTTATAATTTTTTTAAACAAATTCATCGACGTAATGCTTTCTCCGAATCATCGCACGAAAAATTCATCTAGCAGACGAGGGTATTTTTCGATACCGTGGAACAGATAGTTCCACGCTCGATTTCAATAAAAGCTCGATTTAATATTCGAACGTGGACGCGCGGCGGGTTTAAAGCGAAGCTTCGAAATTCCGTTTCCACCGCTAGAAAACGAGACTCCCGGGGCAAAATAGAAAATAAAACCACCGCGATATAAATACGCCACGCAAAGTGAAACGTGCATTCGGTTTCCCATTAGCCGTCGCGCAAGTACGTGTCGTCCGTTGCGTTCCTTTATCCACACATCGCCGGATCTCACGAGATCGTTAATTACGAACACTTGCTCCAATTACTTGGGACAGTCGTGACTAACTAAAACTCGTACCGTTAGACGTTCCCGGATCGTCGCGGGTTCGACGACCGCTAAATATCAACACGGTTTTTCCATCTGGATCAGCGGGAGATCAAATTATTCTTTTTCCAGTTTAATAATAGAGATGGGTACAGTGGATTCCGGTTAATTGGACTAGTTTGTTCCGAAAAAGCGAATTTCATATAGGCAAAAGCTGAACAACGTAAAAAATAGAGCCAAAAACAATTCATCGAAGACCGTACATGTATATTCGCTTTCGAATATAAACTGTGTTTAAGCGTGCAAACGAAGCTAACAATAAGTAATGTAATTATTTCTTCAGAAATTTATCGAGCGTAACTTGGCTAGTTTTTTTAGGCTCTGCAAATGAACGAAATCAGCACACGCATCGAACGCAGAAATGGGGTACTCTTCGTTTCCATTTTACAGAAAATATTGTCAGTTTAAAAATAAATTTTCTAGCCTCCTGATTAATCACCAGATCTTACTCGGAAGTGTCATCTAGAGTTACATGAATAATTTTTCAAAGTACGACTCGAAGTGCTTCGAATCTTCTGGCAAAGAGGAAAACTCACGAACATTGACAACAAAGAATGAATTAAAAATGAATTTTTCATTTACCTTATTGAAACAGATCCGCGCGTTTGTATAACTCACCTGAACAAAGCAAAATCGTACGATTCATTTGAGACAGATATCGATAGAATCTCGAAAATAAAACCTCGCCCAACTTCGACGATCATCCTTTATCTTCGACAACGAGAAAAGCCTCGAGGCCGCGAAACCTCGAAAAACGCGAAACTTTTCCAAACGACACGCAACTTCCATTCACCGACAAACGTTTCGATAAATTGCGAAAAAAAAAAATAACAAAGGAAGTTGCACGGCCGGGATCGAAGAGTCCTTCGGCTGAGAAATCCTGAAATCACTCACGGCTACGATCGCACCGATTTCCCTGCGATCTCGCGCTCGTCGGAACCCGCGCAGGACTTTTCTTTCGCTCTCGGCGTCCCTCGTGTTCCGCGCGGAGATATCTGATGGGAAAGGCTTGTTCGGATTACGCGATGCGGACGCGATAATGATGATTACCACGTCACGGTCGTCCGGAGGACTACGGGCGATTTTTCTCGTCGCCGTGAAACTCTACACCGGCGCAATTACGGTATAAATCAATCGCTTTCACGTAGGGAATTAATAGCGGCGAGCGGGTAACGGAATTGCAGGATCGTTGCGCGCGTTGACCACTGACCAATGCGATTCGCACGTTGCAGGAAAGTTTGCAGTTTCCACGAAACGGTCGTTAGACGAAAATGATACGCGTGATTTTAGTAATTTACGTGTAACAAATTTTCTGTCGTCATATTCAGAGTTGTCGATACGTAATGAATAAATTTCATTTTACATTTTCGATTCAATTTTTTACGTAGAATCACCCCCTATTCGCTTGTACCGCCAGTTACGAGACACCCCGTATAATCTGGGGGAAAATTCACTCACGAGTTCAGGAGGATACATTTTTTGCTCGTTTTTTAAATCAGTAATTGAATCGTTTTTATTGTTTCGAAGTGGAAATCCGTTGTAGCTCTTTTCAGGTTACACGCTGTTCGATTATCGAATTTGCATATTTATTGTACAATCGTATGCGAGAGTCACGACGTGGTTTTAAATGGCGAGACTCGAACCAAGAATGAACGTAGCAGTAATATGAAAGGTGGAAAATATAGGAAGGATTACAGACGTATGGATGTATGAAACGGTTATTCACGCCCCATAAATGCCCGCTGGGGGTCGACGCACCCCCCCGAAAATCCCCTTGAACATAGTATATCACATAGTATATCGGCTGACGGGGCTAACACGACGCTTTCGATGTTTTTCTCCCGTCGTCGCGACGCAGGAGAGCGACGGTGGTTGCGATGGTAGCGACGCCGAGATGATCGGTAACGGGAGACGCGGAGGCGGAACGGAAAGGAATCGCGATGTGGAGGAGGATGAGGACGAAGGAAGGGAGGAAAGGAGCTCGGAGGGTGGAGGTGGTGGAGGTTTCGGTGGTTGGAGGTCCCATTTGCTCGGTGGGCTGACGCAACGTGTCAAATCCTGGTACTGGGGCGCCAGGCCCCTCGTAAGTTTTATAATCAAAACGAAACCACAAAAACACACAGATCTACCATGCACCAGATACTTTTCGTTCTCTCTCACGATTTCTGTTTACCCTTTTTGTTTGTTGCGAGCCGTTCCCGCGAACGCGTTCGATGCACTCTCGCGACGACACTTCGAATCGAAACGGATGAAAGAATGTTTACAGTCGGTCCCATCGATGTTCGCACTCTCTATGTTTATTGAAGAAGCACGACTAAATTAGATAACAGTTTCGATATTACCACACGGATTTTTCATTATAAATATGTATATGGATAAGCTTGTACGTGCATTTATTTACAGAGGATGTCCCAGAATTAGTGTAAGTACCGACAGATGAAGGTAGTTGAGACGATTCTGAATCATTGTCTCCTTTGCGAAAATGTCGGACGACGCTTCGTTTTTGAATTATTAACGAAAAACCACGGACCAATCGCAGCGCCCGAGTAGCGCGCGCTCAGCTATCGAGACAGCTTTTCGCGACCAAGCGCGATAATTCAAAAATGAAGCGCCACTCGACATTTCTGCAAAGGAAATTGTTGTTCGGAATCGTCTCAGCTACCCCCTCCCCACCCACCCACCCCATTTCCGGTTCTAACACTAATTCTGGAACACCCTGTATATACATCAGCATATTTATACAAACATACTCTTGGAAACGTCATTCCTAGCATTTAATTTAACCAAATTTCTTCGACAGGCATAGAGGATACGAATGTTTATAGGACCGACTGTACATATGTCTGATTAACTAAAACTCCAGTTTTAATTGAACAGTTCATTGCGCATATCGATTAACTCCGTAAAACAAAAAGTCGAAAATGCGATGAAATGGTCTCTGAAATAAATTATACATTATTCAATGGCCAAACAAATTTTGTCGTTTAACGATGTTTATCTTTGTCATTCAGGAAAGTTATTATAAATATAACAAGTTGTATGCAAAGCGCTTTGACGTTTAAATTTAAGATTTTACAAAAAGTAGAGTTAATCGATTGGTGCAGCGAACGGGTCGACCATCATCGAAATATTCGGTGGAAATTTCGTCGTAATTAAACGTCTATCCTTTAGCGAGACATTGAAAATTAAATTGCAAATTAAATTGCAAATTAAATTGCAAATTAAATGTAAAATTGTAAATAGACGCGGATTCGATACTCTTGTAAGATTGTCGGAACTGGAAGTATTTATCGCGTGAAACTGCGTCCAGGCACTCGGTCCTGCCAACGGAACTTGTGGTCGGGAGTGTCCCAAATGTTCGAAAGATAATTAAACCCGATAACGAACCCTTTATTTCATCGTTAGTATCATCCCCCTAGATCCAACGATAGATCCAACGATAGATCCAACGATAGATTCAACGATAGACTAAACTTAGACTAGTTTAACGTCTAGTATATAGCCCTTCATCAGAAGTTTTCAGAAAATGGTACCGATAGAAAATGGTAGTAAAGTGTAGTAACGATAGTTAGACGATATAGGAGATAGATTGTAAGTGTCTCTAACGATGTTTTAGTTCACGACAGATAGAAGGGAAACTTCCGGCAGAATCGTGCGAGACACGTCGGAGCTGAGCGCAGCTCAAGAGTTTTGGTCCTCCTTGATCTCACGTTCGTCGTGGCTGCGTGAAATTTTTCGCTTCTGCGAAGAATGCATCGATCGTTGACTTGGCCCTTTATAGGGCGGAAATCCCTGAGCATTTATTTTTCAATTTCTTTTATTAAACGAAAAAAAAAAAAAGTACGAGTTCAGAAACTTAGTGATACGAAGTTCCCGCCCCCTCCTCAGTGGTAACGATAATTACCAGCGACCTATAAAGGGTTAATTCGAAAGCAGAGAAATTCGAAAGCGAAACATTCAGGGAAGAACGATTCGCTTTTCTGTCGAAAATCAATTGTTTTAGTCTCGACCTGCCACGAACAAATCACCGTCAATTTTCAAGTCTACTCGAAGCGCTTAACCGATGCATTCTTCGAGAATCACGGAAAAGTTTCCCTGCCGGAGTGCGTGGACGGGTAAACGACGAGCACTCGATGCGAGATCGAAAGCATTTATCCAGTCTCGAGCCATCGGAAGCGATCATCCCCTTTGGCATGAAGTTTCACCCAATTTAGATCCCTTTCTTTTACTGCTCTGTCTTTTCACTTCTCTCTTCTCACACTCTCTGCTCTCTCTTTCTCTCTCTCTTTCTCTCTCTCTCTCTCTCTCTCTCTCTCTCTCTCACTTATTCTCACCAAGATCAATTTCCTTTTTGCTCTTAGAGCTAGCGAATATTAGTCGAAATAGCGATAGGTGTTGTACGTGTTTTTTCTTAGATGTCTTGCACATGCTACTTTTTTCGATTTGTCCTTACTACTATTTCAAGCACGACTACTGCATACCGCGAATGTAATCGTATATACGACCGTACTTGTTGCTCGCACTTGGCTCGTACGGCCGTATATATAATTATAGGCGCGTGTGCATATATCAAAGTATATTTACATAGATGTCTTGGCATGCACGATCACTTTACTCACATCGATAAACAGGATATAGCGATTCACGTTCGGGGATCCCTCGTAGAAAACGGTCGATCGAGAGACGAAGAAAAAAAAAAGAAAAAGACGTTCGACTAGAAACGTTATTAGAGACGGGTGAATCCGATCACGCGATCGTAGATCCCATGTAGATGTCCCGATAGAGTGTCGCGGGTAGTGTACGCAAAAGAAGAACACGCGTAGGAGAAGAAAGTTACGATCGAACCGCTATCGACGACGATAAATCTCCAGAGAAAGTCCCGGCAGAAGTTTTCGCCGAACATGAAAACCCGAGGGACCACGGAAAATCTGCGAACGAACGATTCTCTAAGGAGCCCTCGTAATTGAACGATGTTGTGCCACGATCGCGGACCAATTATCCGGCTCGATTACACTTATCAGCTCGCGTCGATCTTAGATCCAGGTGGAGATTACTCTCGTCTCTCGCACACGAGACTTAGTTTGAATCATTCGAGCAGAGATGAGATACTCGTCGGGGCTTGTTGGTATAGTTACCCGAAGGCTTTGATGATTTTGCAGTCGGGACCATGATGTTTATTTAGTTTATCTTCGGGATCTTCGTGTCAGATATTATCGGAATATATTTTAGGGGCTTGTTTTAGAATGGTGTTCGAAATTTATAAATGTTACTATTGTATTTATTACATTAATTAATAAATTAAAATAAAGAAAGAATGTTCTTCGGTTGATTTGATAAATTCAATTTAAATGAATCTTCGTATTGGACGTTGTCCGAATTTATTATAGGGACTTGTTTTAGAATCAATCGATAAATTAAAATAAAGACAGAAAATTCATTTCTATTATTTCATTGAAGGATTTTAAATTGACAGTTGGTTCTGAGACTGCAAAGTCTGGTCTTCTGATACTCGCAAGCAATCGGTATCCCAGACAGTGGGACTTCCGTATCGAATAGCTGCACCGTTTCCAAAAGTTCAGTCAGCGAGTATTTCATTTAAAATCTACCTCCCACAACATATCCAATCCTTCGTAAGTGGCATAACTCGAAAACCTAGCGTCACTTGCACAGAATCCATCTATCCACCCTCTCTTAATAGCTCCACCAGCATCCCCGCTAACAGAACTTCAAAGCGGTGCATCAATCCGATCTAATAGCCCCGTCCATACTACCTTTCTATTCAAATAAAATAAAATCTCGCCCGTCTCTGTATCTCAGGCATCGTTACTCACCCCGAAGCATTTCTTTCGCGAACACACAATTTCCTCTTTTTCGTTTTCGTTCGCCGCCCTCCTAAAAGAAACCCGAACAAAGCGTCATGCACAATTTGGTTTCGTTTCGGCCGTCCGGGCAGGAAGAGAAATTCGCGCGCACTCGCGTGTCACGCCACACGCGTACGCGAAACACTTTCACCGTTCGCGAATCACGTTTCTCCGCGATATATGTACGCCCGGTTTCGCGACATTAAACTCGGTCTCCGCGCCTGTCGACCGTGACCTACGGATCCCGTCCACGGAAACGCGTCGGTCGGTGATTTAGCGAGGCACGTCGCCGTGATAACGAGCAACTTCGGGACGCAGGACGATTCGCGCGGAACGTTTAACGAGGCCTCGGAACTTCGACCAAGAAATTTAACCAATTTGACTAGAGAAGTTCAACGAAGACCTTAAGATCCCGAAGTATCCTGGAACTTGTGCGAGAAATTTTGCTAGAATAAAGATAAAAATAAAAAGGTTGAGATTAAGTACCTCGCTCGAGATATTCAGCAATTTCTCCAGGAAGTCTAACGAGTGATAAATTATTACCGACCTTTCGCTCCCCTTGTGGTCTTTTTCTGGGGTGGAAAAAGGAAAGTTTCTTTTGGTAGCGGATCGTGGTCACTGGTTTTTCTTCGAGCCATATCGAAGTAATTAATTCAAACGAAGGTATACGAGCTAAGATAAATCGCAACGCTCCCACGTGATTTCTTAGATTCATTTCTATTCTAGGTTATTTCGTTCTATTTCGCTCGAAATTAGTAGCTTTCGATATCACGCGCAACATTATAGAAGACCAGTGCGCGTAGACAGCAGTAAATATGCCTAAAATATCGACTAAAAGCATCCTTGAGATTTCAGTTTCGATTTTCCCATTCCAAAAGAAATATTCCTTTCCCTGTTCAACGAACATCTCGGAAACACGGATCAAAAATTTCCAGTCGACTCGATCGAAAAGTTGAAGAAGAAGCTCGAAATTCCACGAAATAAAAGTCGTTGGAGGGTCGAGGAAACTTGCAGATCGTTTAACGCGTCGACATCCATCACCTCTATTCATCTTTTTTCTCTCGCACGTCACGAGCGACGGGGTCGAATCGGTCGTATTCGACGAAAGGCGATCGTGCGATCGCCGAGCTGGTTAAAGAATCACTCGACACTCGAATTCGCAACGATAATCGCGCGACAACACCACCACTACCACCACCACAACCACCACCACCACCACCACCACCACCACTCTGTCCGAGCACCACCAAACACCCAACTGCTACCAGCCTATCAGCAAGCATGACTTAATTTTTTAATATTATACTCTTGCGACCTATATCGATATGTATTGTGATACTTGCGTTTCTACACGATGTTATGTACGATTGCATATAGGTACCGGGAGATGTGCACCGTTGTGGAGAAGCGGAACCCGGTAGGCAAACCAAGTTGGCTGCGGACGGATAACAGAGACTCGGCAACGTTCCCAAAATTTTTAAATAATTGCAAACTTCCTACGGTTTTGCTACACTCCATCGAATACGATCTTCGATCCACGGACGACCATATTTAACCGCTCGAGGACCACGCCCGAGTATACTCGGACGTTTTACCTGCGAGTTTACCTGCAGAAAAGACCACTCCTATTTATATATTCGGGTGAAAATAAATACGATTTCTGGTACGTAGGAGCGCAGATGACAGATGGGCCTGTGTAAAATTCATGTACAGTGTACGCGAGTTGTTTTAATTTTATTTTCACATATTTGTATTGGAATTAATGTTACAAAAATTAATCAGTAGATATCAACTTTCAGTCCCATTTTGGGTCCGAAATGGCTTTTATGAGGGTTATATATGTTCAGCAAATAGAATTCGTTCATAAAAAAAGAATGTATTATTTTTTCCAATTTTTAATTTTTTTATGTTTACTGAAGGGGTTAAATAACATTACGTCGAGTGGGATTTAATATACGTAGTGGATACCCCTCTCCATAAATTCCATCATAAATGTCGTAGTAATATTACGCTAGCCCTGGTCGAACCACCAAAAATTCAAAAACGAAAACGAAATTTGATCCACACCACAAACTTTCATAAGAAATTAAATACCCGAATCAAGATTGATTTCTAGACATCCAATAACGACCGAAACGATATGCTCGTTCGAGGATCAAATCCGTCAAATTCCAATTTCCCCGAGCAACACCGTTTACAAGTTCTTTAACGTTTACAAAATCTTTAACGTCGACTCTTTATAGAATCGCTCTGTCGCTGCTTCTCGTTCGTGCAAAGCGTCCGTTTAATTAGCGCGAATTAATTAGCGAGTAAGTTCGTCTCGTAACCAACTTCGCGGACTACCAGGACCTCCCTTCGGCTACAGCGTGCACAGGAAATCTTCAGCATCAGCCTCCTTAGCTCTTGTGTGCTGTCATCGTGCTCGCGCACGCGTGCCTAAAGCGACTTTGACAGGCTGCGTGACAGCCACCGTGCCACGGAAATCGGCCCAAATATTTCGTCGTCTCTCGTTTCATCGGTCTTCGATTCTCTAACGTCGCGGAACGCGAAAAAATTGAAAACAAATCGAATTCTCGACGATCCCTACCGGTCGCTGAATGTTTCTGGACGATTATTTCAACAATAGTTTCGAAGATAGCCAATTGCAATTGAAACTTTAGGGAGCAGTTTCACCCCCTAAATATGAAAATGGATCGATATAAAAAAAGTACGTATATCTTATTTGTTGGTCCTTTAAAACATATCCAAACAGCTAAAAAGCTTTCCTTGTTAGTTACAGTAACACATTCACTGTCAGTTTGCAGTAAAATTTTCAAAGAATAACAATTTTTAAATTAACTCGTATTCGACTCGTTATTAACGATGCACTCGAGATCGTATTTCGTATTCCACTAAATATTCAAGATACGAAAATGTTGCTTCTCGATACTTGGCCACTGACGCTTTCATTATCGGTCTGCATCATCCCCAGAAACACTCAGCAACCTTTACGTTTCCTAGTCAAGCATCGTCAAATAAGAGAATCAAATAAGAGAATCAAACGTTCCACTTTAATTGATGTCCGATCTCGTCTTTCGAGACCTTTCTTCGAAAGTTGTTGTTATTAGTCCACAACGACGGTGGCCGTCACGATGCTGGAAAGTCGAGTGGAAGCGAGTCCGGGGTGTTAGATTCCCGCTGGTGAAACATAGCTCTGCCCGTTTCAGGAACTCGCGCACAAGCTCTCGCGGAGCTTCGACATGCAGGAGGCGCAGCTCCTCGAAGAGGGTGGCTCCGGTGGCGGGTCCACCGGGGCCGGAGGTGCTGGAGGACCTCCGAGGAGACACCACAGCGCTCAAAGGCTGGCCAGGAGCGAAATGTCCGAGAGAAGGGAGGAGGACGGCGCCCTGGTGGTACCTGATCACCAGGGGAACCTGAGGATCACCGTCAAGAAGACCAAGTCGATTTTGGGCATTGCCATCGAGGGCGGTGCCAACACCAAACATCCACTGCCCAGGATCATCAATATACACGTAAGACGACATGGTAGCGATTAGGTCATCCCATAAATTCGTCCTGAAGACCGTCGATATTTAATAAAAAAAAGAAAATACTACAGAAATGTGACAGTTACGGTATAATGACTAGACTGCGAATCTTTATGGAAAATAAAATCTTTATAAACGTGCCTACAAAAATTGTACCTAAATAGGAATTAATTTTATTCTGCATACATTATAACGTGAACTTTACTTTCAATCTTTTTTATATTCTTGCATATCGTTTGGATTTTGTAGTTTCTCGCACATTCAAATTTCCTGTAAATGCATAAAGATTCGCAGTCTATTTATCTCACTCATCGCTCGAGCTACAAGTTGATACGCGACCGTGTGTCATCGAGGTCTTGGATCTTCCAAAATATTTGAAACCGAAAGCTCGTGATTTCCTCGATATCTTTTCATGTTTACGAAAAGGATGAAATAATGGCGAACTTCAACTCACATTTATCACCGTCGATCTACCGAACACGAAAAGTGTTTGTATACCGTTACAGACACGATTATGTCAGTGGTCGAGGTGTTGATAAAGTGTCATGTGTTCGCAGGATAATGGAGCAGCTTACGAGGCTGGCGGTCTTGAAGTCGGTCAATTGATTCTAGAAGTCGACGGTCACAAAGTCGAAGGTAATTTCCGAACTATCGAGTGAATTTTAACGTCGCGCCTTGAAGAGTGTTTCGTTCAAGCTATCCCATTAAAAAAGTTCTTACGTAAAAGAAGTAAGAAGAGGACGGTAGACTCGAGAATTTCTCGACGAGAGTAGACTCGAGTCTTCTACGAACAGTTTTCCTATAGAAACCATTCGGTATCTCAACAGACTCATAATTTTACCATCAACCCTTTCGGACCCGACGTGCACAATCGAGGACTCGAAATTACCACGCACGAAACCGGTACGATCGTTTAGGGCTACCGTCCTTATTTCTGCACGCGAAGAAAGACCAGTTTTTCTCGAAAACTGCGCTATTACGATTTCTCTTTATTTTTCCATAATAATATTAGTCCGAGTTAACCCTACAAATTAAATTACGTTAATACGAGAAAAAGAAATAATTCAGGTCTGGAAGGGTTACCGTAAGATATTATTAACAGATTTTAGAGCAAATGCCTAAACTGGGTAAAATCTACGCGGGAATTTACGTTGCTCTTCTTCCTTGATACGAATTAAATTAGATTTTTGAAAAAGCAAAATTTAGAGGTCATCAAGTTATAGTTTTATAGAGTTAATAGGCTCGTGGAATGAACTCGTATAGTCCTCCGTGTCTGACCGTACCTGCAGTTCCAACGTCCCTTGAAACGGTTCCCGACACAGTCCACGAAGAAACCACCCCCGTCTGCGAACAAAGAGAACAGTTTTACCCGAAACGCGTCCATCTTCCGCAGGTCTCCATCATCAGGAAGTAGCAAGACTGATCGCGGAGTCGTTCGCGAGGCGCGACCGAAACGAGATCGAGTTCCTGGTGGTCGAGGCGAAGAAGAGCAACCTGGAGCCGAAGCCCACGGCTCTGATATTCCTGGAGGCGTAGCAGGAATCTCCCACCTCCGAGCCGGAACCACCGTAGCCCGACGTGACCAGAGCTCGGCCGGTGACACGCTCGGAGCGTCGTCAACGCTGAAGCCGCCGAAGAAGCTGACGAGAGCGCGGGAGAAAACAAGCCGACCGGCACGTGACCGAACGTACAAGCTCGCCGAGCGATGCAAAACATTGCAAGAACAAAGACAAGAACGAGAGCGACCCGCAAAGGCGACCACGACCACCTCGCTCTTCAACTTCTCCGTGCGCTCTCGACGGTCGAGCTCTCGGTCAGGCGCTAATCGAACCTGGCTCTGGTGGTGGGAAACTGTTCACGAGGAAACAGAAAATAAACAAGATGCAGAAGGGTGGGACTACGTTAGCGGCGAGAGGGGCTCGATTAGCGAGTCAATGGGATAATAATTGCACGGTCGTCGACGCCGATGTTGCTGTCCTCGTTGCCGACGTGCCTCTAGGCTAACGGAACCGGTACCGACGCTTCCAGGCTCGGCCGATTCGAGGCCTCGATACGCGACAACCGGGAGACGGAACAGCGCAGAGCAATCCCAAGGGCGCAACGAGGACGGCAAGATGTCATCTTCAAGATGAGACTATCCGTGAAAGACGAACCGAAGTGCTGCGTCGAACGACACATTCGGTCGAAACTTTCGACTCGAAAGAACGTTGACGAGATACACTTTAAGTGCGATGAAAACGAAGGAGGAAGTTGACTGTGCCAAACTATTAGGGATTGTTTCGTGTATAGTAGTTACGATACTATTAGTCGTAAGGGATCCAAAGAGGACTACGTCCGAACGGGAGACGCGAGGCCAGGTAAAGGTTCCTGGATCCTGGATGACGATGATGTCGCGTTCGTCCCACGGACACTCCATGAGAATCACGGACACAATCACCAACCGTTTGCGCGCGTTTCGACGTGCTCCGACCCCGGGCACGTCGCCGATACGCGGCACCCGGAGATTCACTGTTGACTATTGCGTTATCGAAGGTACTGGACGTTCGCGTCGATCGGGATTTTTGTTGGCGGAACCTCTCGGCAAGAGGTCTCTGCCGTTAGACGACGCTGGGTGTCGAGACGAGATCGTTCAGGTACGAAGGAGACTCTTCGGGTCATTCAGCGACTCGGTAGAAAATTTTGTTCGAGCGGACTCTTTCTGCCGAGGTTTACACTTTCATTTATTCGGGATTGCTAGTCTTAAGGGGTTACACCACTCTAGAGGTTGAAGAGAAGGTCTAACTTTGATAATTAATTTTGAGAGTATCGCAAAAGGTATAGGATTTCTTTTTGCAGGTTTTTTTTTTGCCACATATTGGAGCATAAACAAAAATTGTTGTATTATTATTTTAGTACGAAATGGCGGCCACAAAGCGAGTCTCCAAAATTGACTTTTTTTTAAACGCCTTCACTGGAGGACGGTTTGCTGTTTCGGAACCACTTAATTCTTTGAAGTTAGGCGCGTTAAAAACTATCGTCCCACCTTTTGCTTGTTAGCTTAGTGGCGAAACTGTGAACTAACGCTAAAAGTACAATAAGTGGAATCAGAAATGTATACAAGTCAAAAACGTTGTTGAGTTGTTGACACTGTTGTCGGCAGCTTGAATTTTATTTTTATTTTATAATCGTGTTCCTCGAAGAGTTAACGGTGTCTCGAGAATTCTTTAAAATATACTCGACGTTGAATACAGTTTCAAGTTGAAACTATTTCAACCCCAGGAGGAACGGTGGCCGACGAAAGTTCCGATCGGCTCGTTCCCGCGACTAATACAGACTTATTATGGGAATTGTTGAGGCTTAACAAAGTATATTATATATACATATATATTATATGATAATATTATCGACTATCGTAGTGGAATTGCAACTCGTACCTACCCGGAGGTGCTCGAGCGCGCGCAAATTAATCCACTCGCTTGACAATGTGTGCGCGCAAGAGCGTCGCGAGAAGAGTAAAAAGATAAAAAAAAATAAAGAAGTAAACTTATAAAATATGCGATATTTTCAAACAGTTAATAAAGCATAGAGACATCGCGTACTTGGCAACGGGCTTGACGTCGCTTCGAGTTCGAGCTGTCGAGACGAAATATCGATTCGAAAGGTCGACGAGGAAAACGAGCAACGATTCAGCGAAGAGGCATCAGCGATTCGAAAATTCACGTCAACTCGTATCACGATTTTATTTCGATTTCCAGTCGCTTTGGTAAACTTTTGGTAAACGGTACGATCGCGGATCGACTTTGTAATTCGTTACGACGGAATTCGAAAGCGAACGATATTATCCTGGACTTTTATTTGGCCCAGTTTGGTCGACAACGCGTTAAGATAATGAAAAGTCAGTTAATCGAATCAGCTGAACCATTCCGGAGGAACTATTTCGTACGAAACAACGTGTTATTTTGTTAAGACTCCTGCAAAATTATATTTGTTATATATTGTCTACGAAGAATCTAGAGATCGATTTATTACGAATAATGATTTGTCGAAATCGAAAGGTAATATTGTCGAAAAAAATCTGATATTCGAAATATTGTCGGTTTCGTTGTTATCAAAGGAAACCGAGAACGTTTCCTCGTCGTTTCGCTCTTGTCGCGATCGAATCGAACGCATCCCGCACGAGGAAGAATAATCACCGAAGAAAAACGGAAGCTTCCGGCGCGCCGTCGCGGAGAAGACATATTCGAAACTGTGTGATTAGGCGTTTGCACGATGCGTTGTGGTAAATGTGCCAAAAACAGACGACGAAAGCAGAACAAACTAATGGCCAGCGATTCGAAGAATCGTCTCGGAGGAAGACTGTCTCGCCAGACAAGAGACAAAACGAAAGAAGAGGAAGAAGAAGACGCGAATAGAGACGAGAAAAATTATCTCGTTGCGCCAGCGTTGTTTTCATCGATGTTATTTCGTAGCGTTGCTGTCGTAAACAGGTCGCAACCCGACACGTCGTGGAACTTCCGAAAAAGGAAAATCGAACGGATATAAATCGATATAAATCGATAGTAACTAGCTGCTTCTCGGCTGAAAAACAAAATTAATATACCTCGTGCTAGTATCTCTTCCTTTTTTTTTTTTTTTGTCCAAAAGCTACGTTTTCTAAAAAGCATCCACGTTCGTTCGCCGGTCCCAGCAAGAAGATTAGAGGAACAAACGGTGGAAAGACGACGAAGTAGAGACTGGGACGCGAACAGAGAAACGGAGAAGATATTTTTGTAAAAGCCTTCGATGTACCGCGATCACAGGAACGATTCGAAGATCTCAGCTGACATATCCGACAATGCCTTACCGCTTCGAACGGGAGAACACTTTTTGGGAAAGCGTCGCGAGTTATCGAGCCTGCCGGAGAGAAGTGTTCGACCGAACTTCCGATTGGTCAACGCACCTGGAAACGGTACGATGCGAGAACTGACCAGACGTGACCCCGAGAAATTTCAAATTTCAAATTTGTCGTTTTTGGTGACTATTTTCAATTGGTGTGTCGAATGGACGAAACGATCTTGATTGAATGTTAGGAAACGAGGAAAGAAAGTTTGTAATAGTCGATGGAATTTAATATTTCAGGAATCGATTCGTTCTTGGTTAATAAACAGGTTGGTTAATAAATAGGACACGTGGAAGATCTTGCTTTGTAAAAGAACACTCTGTGTTTCATTTGACCATGGAAGGTCTGTAATATTCGCTGGAATTTAATATTTAAGGAATCAATTCATTCTTGGTTACTTAATAAAAAAGACACATGCAAAATTTTGTCTTTTAGAAGTACACTCCTGATATGTTTGATTCGACCATGAATAGTCTGTAATATTCAATGGAATTTTATTTAAGGAATCAATTCAATCTTGCTTAGTTAATAAAAAGGACATATAAAAGATCTTATAGAAGTACACCTCTATTGTGGTTGATTTGACTACTTAGGTCGTACATATTCATATACGATTATACAATTTGCGAAATGGTACAATGAACTTTACTTTCATACTGAAAATGCCGATTTAAAGGATCGTCAGGACTATTTCTCCTTTATCTTCATATTCAGTTTCGTTCCCATCGTCAAATATACACACCTCGGTTTTTCGAAGCAAAATTTCAAGAAGGAATACAGTTCTACTCCACGCTTTCCACGATTTCGTCCATTCGATCGCGCCAAACTACGTCGTATGCGGAACGAAAAACGAAGACCTAAACTGCCAAAAAATTACGATTAGAGTCAGAGACCAGTATCTCCGTCGTCTCGCACGGTGCACGTTTCACGGTTGCCGATGTTTCCTATTCTGTCGAAACAAGAACAGCGAAAATAAATTTCTCGGTAGCTAGTTTTTCCACTCAGGTTCTCAGCTTGCAGACGGAAGTTCCGGCCGTTTACGAGCGTTAGCTGTCGATCGATTGCTTTCCAATTCTCGAGGAACGCGAGCACAACAAGAAAGGAAACACGATCGAAGAACCTCTATTTCCCCTGGCAGCGTCGAGTTGGGCAATGTGCGAATCAACGAGTAATCGATAATTTAACTAATAACAAAACGGCGAGCGAATGTATCTGTTTAAAGTGGAATCCACGAAGGATTGAACACAGAGGCACAGAATGAATTTCTACGAATTAATTTCCGACTACCAGTCGGAAACTCGAGAAAATTTCGCACATTTCTGACGAACGTGTTAAATAATTCATCGAAATTGAGATTCCCAGTACGGCGATTATCGATTAATCCTACAATTACGAGCGATAATTACGATCTATCTCGAAGTAACCACTGCCCAACTCCGGCGTCGATTCGTCGACGTCGTTCGAACGAGTCCGCCGCGAAAGATGAAAGCGTCTCGCGTCCGTGAGCGCCGGACGCGCGTGTCTCGACAAAGCGAACAGATGAAAAACGCGATGCCCGATTTCTACATGAAAATTGTACGATTAAGTCGGTAAACGACCGGCCACCTTTCACTGAGAAAAGCGACGTCGAGCCGTTTCCTTTGGGGAAAATCGGTTCTCCGATCTTCTTCGCGCGCAGACCGCGCGCTTTGTTTCGCCGTCGTTCGAAACAATTTCTGCTCCAGCGATCGCGCCACTGCGACGCGAAAACGGAAACGGAAACACGACAGGCATGGGCGAAATTTGATTCCAGTTATACCAGGCGAATGAAACCAAAGTGACGTTTGATCGAAGTCGAGGTGAATTTTATCGTTCAAGATGAACCTTAGTCTATGATTATTTTATTCTAGAAAGTAAAAGTAGAAGAGTAGTCTCATCGTTTAACCTTTGTATCGGAGTCCCTCCTTTGGTTATGCTGGTGAATCATGTAAGAATCGCAAACAAGAATCAAACACGAAAGGGAAAATAATAAATGTAGTATTCACGCCTCCCACGGCCAACAATAAGGAGTTAAAAAAGAAGACGAAACGTAGGGTACGAGATTGGTCGCGTAGGTAAAGCGGTCGACTGTGGATCCGTGGATCGTGGGTTCAAATTCTCGTCCCTTATGTTTCGTTTGGACTTCTATATAAATTTTCATTCGCCCTTTTTCGAGATATTTCGTTCTACGATCTAAATTATAACGTTCGATCGCTCTTCGTCTGGATAAGAATTTCACCCATGTCTGAATCACGGAAATCGACCCTCTTCGACCCTTTAACGAACTTCCTCGAGTTGTTTAAAGAACTGGACGCCGGCGTTCGAAGCACGGCTCCGACGCCTCGAAGAGGAACCAACAACCAGTCGCGATAGATCAGTAGGTGTTCCGATAGAGTGTTTACAATAGATCAGGCGTGTCGTACGCGAACCCGACGTTAGCGTCCGTAGATTTTAGCTCCCGCAGATGGCGAACTGTCGCGGCTCGTAGGCGCGCGACAGGGACAGAGAGTAAACCTAGCAAAGTGATTTATTTTTTCAAAGAGAGAAAGAGACAAAACCGAGATCACGGACTCGTACTCATAAACCTGTTCGGCTTTCGCACGTTCACCATCCGCAAACTTGCTTTTTCTCGATCGACCGCGGGCGCAGAGCGCGGACTGAAATCGGACTCCGTCGATCGAAAGCGATTCGGAGAGCCGATGAAAGGCGACCGGATCCTCCAGAATGCCGGAAAGAAACGGAAAGGAGGTTCGGAGAGGGAGGATAACGGGCAGAAGTAGACAGAGATGGGCACAATCTTTATCTAAATAAAAATTTTAAATATCGAATAAAGATGAAAAATTGTTGTCTCTTACTCGTCGAATAAAGATATGGAATCGTACAATGGGATCGTACTATGTCTGTAACAAATAAGGAAGTATTGTTCGCCGTGGAAAGGAATCGATTAATAGACTACCGGTCGAGGAGTCTAAATTTTTTATTTTATATAGTTTTCAGAAGCATCGAGGAACTTTACCGTTCTCGAAAATAAGATACGCGTTATTTTGTCCGCTTTGAAAGAGAAACTAGAACGTTCGAATGAAGAAAGAGGATAGTAAAAGCTGCTGCGCCCACGGTGACTCAACTGGAGAATAAAACGCGCGCGAATTTCTTGCTTAAGCTTCGTTTACGCTAGGACTGGGGCATCTCGAATTTTTCATCGAGGATTCGAACACCCGAATTATTCAAATATTCGACGATGGCGCTCGATCGAATTCCAATTCTTAACTGTTCGCCAATTTAGAATTCGCGTACTTGACTACTCCGATACTATTCGAACTAAATATTGAAACACGTAGCTATTCGAAAACTCGACTATTCGAACGGTCCCAGCCCTGTAATAGTTCAAGCCCTCGTAACCGAGCCGGGACAACGCGCGAAACCGTCGCCGAAGAAACGCCAACGGACAAGGGACGTTTCGCGGGACGAGGATCGAGCGTAAACGCGAAAAACCGATCCGACTGTCGCCGAGACGAATCGCTAACCGAATTGTGAAGCAGTTGCAACTGTACTCTCGTAACGTTTCAAGGAGCACTGTACATAAGCGAGACACTCGTTCATACGCATTTCATAGGTCACTCCCCCCCCCCCCCCTTTTTGCAGCCGATTTTCGTACACCTTAGCGACACGTACACGAAACACGTACATACACACACGCAATTAGCACACGTGTGAATGAGTGAATTAATATCTGTACTCGGATGGCGATCTACGTCGAGTCCAAATTATCGAAATATCTAACGGCTACTCGATATAGTAAATTTCTAAAATTTCGACTCGACGTAACTCGTCCGTGCAGATGTGCTCATCGTCGTGGAACGAAGGCAGAAGGAAATCGCTATCGAGGACCGTCGAGGCGTCTTTGGATCGATGCCATGACAATCGAAGGCACGCGTGCCTTAGATCGCTTCGACACTTTGATCTGTTCGTTATTATACACGTACAGGAACCATGGGGTGCGGAGAAAATTTGTGTTACTTCATTTTATCAGGACGAATGAACACGATTGTTCGTACAAACGATCGCTGGTGATTTTCTTTGACCAGAAACTATCCGTACGCGAAAATCGAAGGAAAGATTTAACGAGAATTAATGTTATTTTTATTTGCTGAGTTAGACTCAACGCCAGCTCGATCATCGCAATGATTTTACGTGCCACTCGTTTTCTTTACACCCTGTACAATCACACAAACAATCCACGCATGTAATATACGTAAGATTACGAGAGAAATGTATCGTTTACGCGTGCAGAGCGCACGGCTGTGTCGTTTAGTTATTGTTAATCGTGGATAATTTAATTGCCCGTTCGATTGTTGTTGCTCATTATTGTTATCGTCATGGTTATTATTATTGGAAGTTACGAGTGTGTAATTATCGTCACCGCAGTTGCGATTATTTTCTTTGCGTGCCGTTGTTACGATTATTTATTATTACTGTTATCATCACTACGACGATGGCGATTATTATTGTAATTGAATAAAACGTTCATCACGTAAAAAGAATGCATAGATTTCTTGCCACAAGGTTTTCACAACGTTTCTTTATTATTTCATTTTAGCGAGGATGTTGATTTCCTTCTTCTAGTCATTAACCGACTTTTAAATTATAATAAACCATAGCCATGAAGCATAGTATCTTAACCTACGACTGCAGAACAATACTGTGAGACTATTTGAATCCTTTACTTCATTTTTACGTATATTTTTATTGTAATACAATGAATTTTTATTAATTAAATAAAATAGCATTCAAATTTCCCGCGTGAAATTGGTGTCGTCGTCTAGCGGTGAATAACTGAACTATTTTCGGAGTACGATCTGTCAATGGTGAATGTAGCCATTTGTTTATTTTAATCGAAAAATTAAGAGTGCAGGGCTAAGAAATGATTCTCATTCATATTTTAATATTGCAATGATTGTCCACCTATTTGTTTTTAAATATATAAAAAAAAAAACTTAAGAATACCTCTGTCGCCCTCTATTAGGAGAATGCCCAAGTTTGATGCCGACTAGTTTGGCTTATTCATTACTAGATGGCGATACAGATATTCTTAAGTTTTTTTTTTTTTATACATTCAAAAACAAATAGGTGAACAACTATTGTAATATTAAAATATTAATAAGAATCATTCCTATTGAATAGGCCATTCTGATTTATAGTACATACCTTTTACTTCGTGATCCTTTCACATTTCGCTGCTAAAAAATGTTGTAGCAGCTCTTCACTTAGAGAAATATTTTTCGAGGCCAAAAAGTTAGAGATTCATAAACTAATTTTATTTCTATAATAAATAGTATTTTATTCAATACATAGAGAAACATTTATTTAATTAACCATTTCCAATAACCAATGAATAAATTCTCAAGGTGATTCTTTACGTTGCATGGGAGAAATATTATTTTTTAACATTTCGACTCGTCATGTTAGAGACGAGGATGATCAACTTCAGGAGGATCCAGTTCTTTAAAATAGCATACAAGAAAAATCAATGCACTAAAAGCTGCAATTACACGCAATAGAATAACATTCGATCATTTTATATACAATACAAGCCTCTTCACGAATCCCCATACTCAGCAATCTACAAATAGATCGCTCAATGTACCCCCTGTTCCGCCATTCCCCAACCCCCAAAGTACCAAACACACACCCCTGGAGACCATTCCATTCGACCTGGAACAGTCAACGACACCCACACTCTTTGACAACCATGTCCTCGTACCCATACTGATAAGTCAGGGTCCCACTGGAGTCCAGATACAGAAGACTCGTAGGCGCGAGCATGGTCGGGACGCAGCAGGCCCTTCCAACCGGTTTCCCAGCACTTTCAACCCCCTGAAGTGCCCCATGCACCAGCGTCTGGACGATCGCGTGTTTAGTTGGACTCAGATGGTCCCCAAACGGATAGAAACACTTGCCAGCGCACTGATAAGCTTCGTAGCCAGGTGGTGCGACGATCCACTCGTCGTACGCGATCAGCGAGAAGTCCACGTACAAGGACCTCCGTCTGCACGAGTTCCTGCGTCTCCTGCGAGAACCATCCTCCTCCACCTGGTCCTCCTCCGGAACGGAACGCCGCGGACGGTTTCTCTTCGTCTTGCTGTAGCTCAGCAATAAAATAGGACTATCTCCGCACGGACGGTATCCTACCCTCCCGTACACACGGAGCTTCACCATCTTTCCATCCCTCGTGGCCACGCCGGAAGTGACGTTGAACGCTCTCCAGCTGTCGTCTCGTCTCGACTTGCAACTCAGAGGTTTGTTCATTCGGTCCAGTCGCACTCGGAGGATCGTTCCAGCGACTCCTAGCAGTTCGGCTGCTTCCAGGACCTCGTCAGGTTCAGCCGGAGGCACGGAGAACACCAGAATCCTGGCACCGTCGCTGGTTGGAATGGACACCTGGATCGGACGGAGAGCTCTGACTATGTCCACGTCCGATCTCCGATGGTACAGCTCCAGCATGTATCTGGACACCACTCCGCGATGCCTCCTGTCGATGATTCTTCTATTGGTCCTGTTGGAAAACCGATAAGGCACCGAGGGTGAGACCGGAATGGAGAGGTCGAACTGTATGGACGCCTTCGCGTGCACCGCAGATGTTCGCCAGGAGAACGAGCCCGTCCTCCACAGACAGTAAACGCTGATTGTCCCAACGACGAGCAGCGTGATATATCGAGAGGCGCTCATGATAAAGAATTCGAATATCGAGGTAACCAGGGATCTAGGTCGCAGGAGCAAGAAAAAGTCGCATGGTTCGGACACCTTTTCTCGACCCGAAGTCGATTGGATTTCGCATGAGACTGCAAAGGAATCCTTGGTCGGACCGAGCGAAAGCTGAAGGACCGCTTTTAAATAGCCTGCCGATGGAGAGCGGGGATTCGAAATTGCCGCTGGAATATGCTCTTATCACTGGCAGACCGCCACTCGACGCTATCTGACAGGTTGCATCGTTCTCCAAGGGCGCTTGCTGACCATATGCCAAGTCAGATTTGTTACCCTTTTCCATTAGTGATAAGCACTTATTTTTGTAAACATTTGTTTCGGTAAAGAGAGAACACAGAGGAACGAGATACATTAAGGGCCTATCCTGAATTAGGAGGTCTAGAGAAAGCGGTTTTTCGTGCCTTTTTTTAGGATGGAAGAATATAATTAATTTTATTGAACATTTTATCCTATTTTTGTACATATTTGAATAGTCTGTACAAATTCTGACGCAGTTGACTCAATTTGAATATTTCCCGTTGAAAAAATTTGTACAGACTACTCACATTTGTATGAAAATAGGATAATAAGTTTGATAGAATTAATTATTTTTTTTCCATCCTAAAAAAATTCATGAAAAACCGCTTTTTTTAGACCTCCTAATTGAGAACACCCCCTTAATCAATCGAGGAAGGTTTTTCTCTCGTAGCTGAGTTCTGTCACAAGTTTTTGTTTTGTTTAGAAATGGCGTTCTTTTGACAGCAGAAATCTCTTAGTAGTGGAAACGATAGTCTCGATGAGTTAAAACTATGAATATTTACATATCTGTAATTAGATAAACCCTGTGTAAAATTATTCTCGGGCGAAACTGGTTTAAAAAAACCGCATGCGTACTCGGAATCAGAATTGATTGGTAATCAAACCCGTAAAACGCCGTGCATAGTTTATTGCGGCGTAAATCCGCAAATGGCAAATGTAAGATTCCGAAATTAATACTGGCTTCAGATAATATACCTAATCTTTTCATTGTCTAAAACTGTTAAGAAATGTTGCATGTTTCCATGGAAACATGAAACGTGCACATTGCAACTATTTCAGTGTGTGGAAGAGTGGACTTGACCAAACATAAACGCCGGATTGACAGAACGAGATTGTTTCGCATTTCGAAGAAACCGGGTGTGACAATTGATACTTTGACGAAATATTTCTCAGTATTTATTGAATGAAATCCAGTGTCACGTGAATTCTACTTTCGGGCTGTTTCACGAAATTAGAAAGGTTTCTTTTGAAAAAATATACGTACCACATATGCGTATGTTTGGACTGTTTGTATTGTTTTGTTTATATTTAGGATCTATATTCGATCCAAGTAAACAAACTTGAACCGTGCTTATTACATATTTGGAGAAACCTGTGCCATATTCAAGCAATATGCGATTATAAACATCGCTTACAACATTGAAGTAAGAACGCAAGGGTTCATAGGTTATAAAGATACGTGCGTGCTATCGTGTTGTTGTCGCTATTGACAACAGCCAAACGTCACGAAATTGTTAATGTAAAATACATTGGTTAAACTAAACATGCATTGGCTTCAAGCAGCAAACATACGCGAAGAAATGCCATTGGGTCAAATAAGACAAAATAATTTCATGAATACAAATGACAGTGTGAACCCTAGTACGACTTGCCCTTCACCTCCGAATCATAACATTAATTTACCATTGGGTCATCCATATATTTTGAATAACAACCGTGGTGTACCTCCTTCTTACGAGGAAGCTATAGATCCAAATGGTAAATAACTTTTCTAACAAAAGAATATTGTTGTTACCAAGATACTATGCTACTAATTTACTTTAATTTAGCGACACATGTCTAATTGATATTTTTATTTTTATTTTATAGCTCCTCCACCATCCTATGATACATTGTTTGGTCGTATGAGAGAAGCGCGTAGGGTCTCCAAAGGAGTGTTTGATTTTCTGAAAAATATTATCATCCTGCTTTTAGGAACTAGTAAGCATCGATTATAATTATAATTATAATTGTAATTTAATATATTTGGGAAATGTTCTTCTATTTTATATGTGATCAATTTCAGTTGGATGTACCATTATCATAGGAGTAACACTAGTAATTCCAGTATGTATGATAGTCATAGGAGGAGTTTACCTTAATGATTGCCCACAAGGAGAATATATTCCTATATATTTATTAGTGGGTGGTGCATTCGGTGTTTTTAAACAGTTGTTACATTTGTTGGCAACGGGTGGCCGACATCATGAAGAAGACGAAGAAAGAATACAACAGTCGCATACACAAATGTTAATCAACTGTTTTATGACTGTTTGGTTCATCATAGGTTAGTAATACCGATTCGTATCATCACCGTTATGACAATTATACAATGTATAATGATTCTTTACTGTAATTTGATTCTTACATTTTTTTTGTTTCTGTAGGGTCGATGTGGGTGTACAAGGAATACGAACCAAATTATGATCCAGCTCAAGGAAAATATTGTAATAAAACATTATATTTATTTGCCTTTTGGCAAATCACGTCGTCATACATATTTTTGGGAGTATTAACGGCTGGTGTTTGTAGTGTTGGCTTAGTGACTATCCTTTTTCAAAGGCCATGACTGACCTAATGTGAGAAATCATCATCTTGTTTCAATGCGAGAAATAGTCATTCGATGATTTATTATTTTGGGAACAAAACAACAAGTTAGTTGTTATCTTGGAAGAATAGCTGTGGATACGAATGACGTAACAGGGCACAAAAATTCGTCCACGCTTATGTACCTGAGATAATCGAACAACAATCTGCGAACGAATGGTTTGCACGTGGAATATGCGTTCAAATTTTGTAATTCGATGCTTTGGAATCATTCATAGTAACTTCATGGTTCTTGGTTTTTCAAGATTTTCACGTCGTATTATACTATAATATGGGTACAAATCGTCTGTTAACATAGCAAATTGGAAGGAAACAATGCTAATCGATTCATGGCTATAAATATTTCGCAACAATTGCGAAATTTTGATTAATATTGTGCCAAGGGATAGGAGAGTTGTAGATATTTCATACGATGCGTATGATATGTTTACTTGAGTAGACTCTCAGGATATGTGAAGATTTTAATGCTAGAGTGTTGTCGAACACTATGATACATATAACAAATTCTACCCGTCAACCATTCTACCATCGCGAATCTCGATCACGTCTAATGGCAGCTGGTTAACAGGTTCTTACAAGTGAACGATTTACTCACTCGTATAGATAGCTCACCGTTAAAAGACTACATACTATCGCAACACATCCACACACATTTTCTATTCTTTTGTCCTCTCCCGCCGTTCTTTCAAACCTTTCGACTTCCATTGAGCCTTTATGTCAATGTCGTCGAATAACAATTTTATACTCGGTCTAAAGGGTAAACTGTATTAAGCTCTTGGTCTAAAACGAAAAGGACGAGTCGGACACGTCGTATACTCGACTACGACACGGTTCCAAACTCCCAAAGTAAATGGCAGGGCTGAAACACACGCGGCTCTCTAGCATTTCAAATAATATTCAAATGCCAGTATTTATTAGTATTATCTGAGATTACAATTTTTTAACAAACTGTCGATGTCGTGTCCAATTGGTATTTAGACACAGTGGAGGATAACTTAATACAAAGACGATGTATATCGTTTCTTCCACTTTCATACATCTTTATCTACTTTTCAACGAGATTTTTCGTCTTCCTATTAAGTCCAGATCAACAACTGTAAATACTCTAAAACCCCGTTTTTATTTGTTGCCAATTCAATGTAACACGAACATTTTTGTCGATGTTATTTTCAATAAGATCTACGCGTGTTTGTAAAATAAGTCCTTAACATTGTAAAAGTGTGGCATTGGCACATACACACATTTATTACTATAATTTTCGAAATAAATTGCTTAAAACGATACTTCCGTTTCCATCAACCTTTTTTATATTGTACGCTTCTTCTCTAAATTCCGTGAGCGGTTTTTTCCAAGAAATTTCAGTCGAGATACTACGTCTCTCGAATCGGTTCTCGAAAGCATAATTTACATGGCCGTTCGTTTCTACGCGCGTTCGAACTACTTGCGTCCGACCGAATTTTCGTCGCACTACTTGTCCCTGACGCTGTCTACTAGTCGCTGACTATCTGTTACCAATGTTATCCACTTATGACTAACGCTATACGTTTATTGCAAATTTCGAAGAGTGCTGATGTAGGAGGGAGCCGATCGACGGAAGAATACGGAGACCACGATGGCCGTTAAAGAAGATGACTATCCAGACTGGGACTGTTGAGAAAGTTGTACGATGATCACCAGAGAATATTCTATAGACGACGACGAAATCTTATTACAAGTTCGCAGCCACTAGCTCGTTATTACTTGCGACGAAGGATTGTTTGAACAATCTTTCATCGCGAGTAATAGCGATTACCATGTTTTATCACGTGGAGGTTGCTGCGGGTGGAGACCCGGAGGGAGATAGAAGGAATCAAAGTTCCTTCGATTTCTTAATACTACATATACCATATTCCTCTTGTACACTGTGTAATTGTGACCCGAACATTTCATTAATAAGTGTATGTACAGCAATCGCTAGAAGTTAAAGCCTCTTCCCATCGCCAAAGGGACATCACCATCTTAAAGGTAAACTCTGCACCTCTCTAAAACTATCCAACTCAAAAGTCATCTCCCCGACTGACGCTTATGTTTAAATTACACAGGAATCAAGAAATTTGACAACGCACGCGTCCATAATCCCCAGCAATGGTTCTCGTCGAACGCATGCATACGTCCATAGCAATCGGAGGGTTAAACGACCTTGTTGGTGCACCCCTCGCGCCTGCGTGTGTTCGGCCAGAGTGCGATGCTAGGGGTGACTTGCAAGGGTCGTTGCAGTGGACAGCATCGATTCGTCGGCTGACGTCATAGCGCCGCAGACACGCCAACGTAGATCCACAACGCGTGTCTCCCGGCGAGATTAGTGTCATGCCGTGGCTCTGACCTGAGTTTTCCGCTGGCATCGGGCGGCCACGGATTTTTTTTTTTACTCCCTTCGAGTACCCTCTTGGTGAATCCCATCAGTCTGCCACGGGAATCGCGCGACAGAGCGGCGGATTAATTTAACAGTAAGTACGATAGAAACAAGCGCGAACGAGCCACGGTTTCGCGTAGTCCCAATGAAAATTGTCGCAGATTGGTACAATCGTTTGAACGATCGTTTCGTTGGTGATATAAGACGCTTGAGGGAAACGTCGTTGATATTAAAAATAGTAACGAGGCCTTGATTCAGTTCTTGAATTAAAGATTATATTAATTCTCTTACGATATTCTTTGCAATCGAGCAAGGAATATAATATAAATTAAACATGTCTATTGTCTTATTGGCAGCAAGTGGTGGGTGACTTTCAACGTGACCCATTGTACCTGTGCACAGAGTTTTGCGTACGTTTCAATCCGATGGAACGTAACGTGAATTCAGTTTTCAAGCAGCTCAGCACACGATTTCCGCTGACACTTCCTCGCGCGTGTTCAAAGCGTGCATTCCTCGGCGATTTTGCTTTCTCGTATTCTTTTCCCTTCTATCGCGCTACAGTGCTTGGTAATAATAATTTGTTCGATGATATAGATTAAAGAATTTTTTTTTTTTAAATCGAGAACTTTGGAAGAGATTCCTAAAAGTTTCTCTTTTTATGTACAACATACAGTGACCTGTGTCGAAACTGTGAAAGATTAGCGTTCCCGATAACTCGTAAAATTGAAGAAAATTAAATATTTATAATATATAATATCTTGTCGATGGACTGAATTGTAATTTATCTAAAGGCTAAGAATAATTCGAGTGCAATCATTTGGAATTTAGTAAATTGTTTTTGGGAACGATACACGTATAAAACTGGAAGTGCGATCTACACTCGGGGAAACATGTCACAAGGTAACGCAAAGTTAATTTATTGAAACTGATTGGTATTCGATATAAAATTTAATAAAACGCTGAATAGTAATTTTCATTCATAATCCTACCCACTTTGTCTCTTTCATGAAACAGCATTTTTCCCTCGATCGACTATTTTTATCGCGAACGAATTTCCTGAAGGGAACTAGGAAGATGTGACGCGTAACGCTTCATTGCTATCCGCTTTATTGCTTGGTTGAAAAATGGATAACGTGCGAGAGAAATTCGGGGATGAGGAGGGCATAGGTTATTTTAAGATTCAGAGAAGAAGAGGCGATATAAAAGATACTCAATGGGAGAGGATACCATCCGACTACTACTATATCCATTCGAATGGATTAGCAAGTCGATAAAGACTTTAAGGAAAGATTAATTTCTTTCAAGAAATGTAAAAGCTTAGGGATAGTTTGATCTACCTTTAACTGAGGAAGACTTAATAGCGAATTGGAATTTTTTAGTGAACATTGCAACGAAGGATTGCAACGAAGGAATACATTGTCCACTTCTGATTCTTGAAACTGTAACTCCAGTTTGTTGTTGGATGAATCTAAAAACAAATTAACCTTTTCTTAAACAAAGTGTTGCAGTCGCAGTTGGAAGACTATCTGCCTTACCTGGGTGGTGCAGCGGGAGTCCTCGTGGTCACCGGCATTGCAGCTTACCTTGCGTCGAGACCGAAACCGGAAAAACCGCTGTGGCCGCTCGATGCTCAGTCCGTGTTACTTTCGGTGAGCAGACATCCCTCGTGGCGTTAATTACGGCTTAGCGCTTGAAGTGCTTGAACAGGAAATCGACTAATACGTACATTTTCACCGCGTGGTATATATTTGCAGGGGAGAGCGACGCGGGTTTTTAGTCATTTCTTCTTGGCAAAACATTATTTGTAACGCTTTGTACTTGCACGCTTCTACAACCGACACCACGATTATCTGAAACCGCTTGCTTTTATCGAGTTCCCGTATACCTCGTCCCGGATCATGTTACGCTGCTCGCCGATCGAACTCTGCGACCCCTCAAGAGGAATACCCCCCAGTGGTGGGGCTGGTTTCTGTGCATTAATCCTAGACAAATCTGTGCAGTCACGGAGACATTACTGTATATCGTTACTTCCTAGTCGTAATCGTGTATTTCATCGATCGCATTCAACCCGACTCTGGCGTAAGCACGCAAATCGCGTGCGTTTGCAATCGGACGATGCGCCGCGTCGCAAATAGCGGAATCCGGTCCCGATCGGTAACGCGATGCGTTGACGATCTCTTCCCCGTGGATCACGCGACGTCAAAGCCCCGCTGTTAATCGATTTCTTTTTTTCCGCGTCTGGCGATTATCCAACAAGTTTGGTGTCCGTCGAGGACGACGCTCGCACCACCAGCTCGGACCACTATATTTAAATATAGTCAAAGATCGCTGTAGAGGATGGACGTCGAGCTAGTCTTATGTGCGAGCTACTGATAGCAGCCGCTCCTCTCGGTGGAGCAGCAGCAGCATCGGCATCAGTAGCACCTCTGACAAGCGAAGTGTTCCAAAGGCGAACGTCTCGCGACGCGGCGAAGCGAAATTCTCGCGGGCGCGCAGCCCCCGTCACGTTCGTAACGGACAAAGTGCGTCGCTGGCCCCGACCATCCGGTGAAGGGATAAACGAGCAGGCCCCGTAGACGCTCGTACGGGGTTTCCCACTCTGTGCAGCGTTCGCGGACGATCCGAGATATGTCGTCGAGCTGTTTCGCCCCCGAGCCCATTCGACCACCGATCGATCTCACCGATCAATCCGACACGGTCAAGGTGGAGTGTCTCTCCTGCTTCATCCTCGGTACACCGCGATCATTTCCACCTAACGCGTCGCGTGCTTCCCGCGATCACACGCCACGCGTTCCGCTCTACGTTCCGCAATCTCTCGCGATCATCGATCGCTAATTACGCGCCTAACGAACCGGGCGAAACGTTCTGACGAAATCGCTTTTTCGCGAGTTCGGTACGTTCGAAGGTGCGTGTGGGTGGCCAGACTAGTTGCACAAGCGACTTGGCATCGCCGAGGAAACCGTGACACGTCGTGCCAGGGTGTACAGGGAAATGCGGGAAGCGTTTTACATCCCGAGTTCCGAGTTCTCGCTTCCCGCTCCGAGGGACGGTCCCGCGGGACGTACGATCCACGGCTGTTTCACCTATGCGCACCAATCCCGCTCCAAAACGCACTGGCTATACTTAGATTTGCACTTGGCATTCCGTTACGTAAGCAAGAGAATACACCGGATTTTCACGTGTGCAAAACGTTTTGCAGGGCACCGACCTAATCAGAGTGTCGAGGTTTTATAAGGACAGCAAGGAGGGAAAGTTCGTAAGCTACATTCACGAGGACACGAGAACCCTCTATGACGGTTTCCGCAAAGGCGCCAAAGAGTCCAGTAAGTCCCTTCCTCCCCGCTCTCGTTTCTGTACAAGATTGCCGCAGCTAACAACGCCACGGTGAACCCAGCGTGTGTCGCATACGCGTTTTAAATAAACGAGAGGAGACGGGCTGCACGCCGGCCGAGCGTAATGGACCGTTTGGCAAGTGGCTGGCCCGTGGTCCGCGTTCGAATTGACAAACGCGCTTCGCGAGCGCGGCCGACTAATAAGATCGAGGATTTTCGTCGCAATCCCTCGGTTTTTCCCCGCCTCGGGACGGATTTATCGCGAATTCGGCCGATTCGAGAGCCGCCGGTGCAACGACGTTCTTAGTTAATTCGACGCGGTTGTTTATTTTTAACCCGCGGAGGAACCCACGCCGCGACACGGGACACCTGTCGTCCTCAGGGACGGTGCGTCAGGTCGAAGCGTTGCGAACGATGTTGCCGCGATATTTTTTTTGCTCGTAAAGGATAGTCTTGTTTTTTCTTTTATTTGTTTGACATCGAGTGCCTCGGGTGCTGGGACAGGGGCTGTCTTCACGCTGACATTTGCTCGAGGACCTCGCGGAGTACACGCTTTGTTATATTTAGTACACGTTTCACTGTATCGATCAGTTATATATTAGTTTGTCTGGAAAGTCCGTGCCGATTTTTGGTAGGTGATACACGCCTGTTTATATTGAAATGATTGAAAACAATTAACATGGGTGCATCCCTTAAAAGGTGGAAAGGTTGTGGAACGAAATTGTATTTATATAATTCAATAAATATATATCAAAATTCAAATGTACCTTTGAATTTTTCTTAAAAATTGGCACGAACTTTCTGGACAACCCAATATTTGTACTTCTGTAAATTGTATACATAAGACTCCCAGTGATAACGTTGTTAAGTCGGCACTGTACCGTCGTTTTTATTATACTTAGGGAATTAAATTGTGTAGAATAAAATGATATACGCTGATTCAGATTTAGTTAGGTTGGGTTAGGTTGATTTGTGATAGGATTAGGTCTGTACTGATATATCAAAAAAGACGGCACACATCCAAAAACCTCGGTTATTATCAACCATGAAGAACCAGACCGTGAAATCCTCGAACATCTCACTCGGAGATACGGTTTATTTACATTTCGAAACGATATTAATCAACGTTTTAATATAGATTCCAATGTCAATTTTAAATTTAATTTTATGGAAATAATTCGGTAACCAACTGAAATTTTTGATTCCTACAACTATATTCCATTAAAAAAAGAGGTAACGAAATATTTGATTAATCCAAGGTACTATCTCGTATCCACTTCTTTGTATCCGTACGATTTCAAGGAGGTTCTTCAACGATTTTCGCTAATGAAAGCTCGTGACACGTCACGTGGACTCGAAAACATTTATCCCGTACGAGCATCTTCAACGGCTCGCGAATCGATATATTTACCACGTTTCGCATCAAAAGATTTACGTCCCGTTGAAAACAAATGTTTCGCAATGGTCTCGTGTATCTCGGTTAACCGCATCACATTTCTGCACCTACGTCTAAAAAAAGCAAACAGTGGAAAGTACGATGACGGTCTTAACACGTGCTCCCAATTGAGACGCGTTTGTCAAAACGTCAATCTTCCCTGACGGGAAGGGGTACGTCTACATCTACGCGTTCGATCTTCTAAAATTAATCGGTTACTTACGATACCTTGAAGTGTTCCAATTTATGAAAGCGTATCAAGGAAATATTCTATGAAGAAGTGTTTTCGATGAATTAAATACTATCAAAGCGATGCGTGACATTCTGGGTCCATTTTGTCTGAAGCGATGATAACATTGAAACAACAAACACGTGCTAATAAACGTACCAGATTTCGAAAGTTTATGTCAAACAGTTCGACTCCAAAAAAAAAATCACGAACTCCCTCAACTCGATATGTTTATCCATCGCAACTAATATACCTAAGTAGCCTGCGGGTGTTTATGCAAATTCATAGTTGTGCAGATTTCGATACAGATTCAAGCGAAAGCATGTCTTAAGAGTGTAACGCGTATTTTGTTATTAATATTTTATATATTTTTGCATTTATACGTTTCCCAATATTTACGATGAACATGCAAACATCCACAGTGTAAATATAAGCAACGGTTTCAGATAGTACTTTCAAAATACACCACTTATTACACAACCTAAAGAATCACACTGTGCATACAGTACGCTTAACTCTATCGATCCTACTGAGACATACGCGTCTCGGTGAATATTTCTGATTGCCTTTGAACAAATTACAAATGAGACATAAAGGAACATACGTGAACAAAAATGAAAAATAATTCGCGCTGGAGCAAATTCTCTCTCCTTATTCAACTACAGAATTGTACCTTTGCACTCGAGGCCTTTTTATCTGGTATTTAACAACAACTCGATTCTTTTTTACCATTCTATTGCCATGAATCCTAAGCTTAGATTGACATAGAAGATGAGGTCGCCTTTATCTCGCCGACGATCATTTTATTGGCACTTCGAGTTGCAAAGAAATTAATTATTATTCCTGGTAGATTTGCTGCGTGAAACCTAATGGTGACCGAAAGACGCCTCTCGAGCGCAAAGGGTTACTATAATTAATTTTTAAAAGAGAAACAGAAAAAGGTGGGGTTGAAAGGGTTAAGACTCAATCAGCACCTCGTAGAAGCATAAATCCTCTTTCAACGCGACTAATCGCGTCGTGTTCCCCGTTCGATGGACGATCGATCATCCTTCCGTAAGAAGACGTAACCGTCAACCGGTGAGCTTTTAATCGTTTAATCATCGCGCTCCGTCGCTGCCATAAATATCGTTCGTCGTCCAAGCAACCGACCGCGTCGTTCTCCCTCGATTCCTCCATCTCGGTGTTCTCTGTGCGAAATTTCGTCGCGGTCACGCGTCTCTACCGTTATCCCGTGGCATCCTCTAAGCTCAAGTTGGCAGATCGTGCGTACGCCGGCAATTAACATTCCTTTATACACGGGAAGACGCGGCCTTCGGCCGTGGCGCGCTTCCTACTCGTGAAACGGCCACGAAATCATTGGCTCCTCTTCTTGACAACGCAGACAATGGCCCTTGTCTCGGTTGGCGCGACGGACCCACCAAACCGTACCAATGGCTCCATTACAACGAGACCCTGCTCAGAGCGAAGAATTTCGGGTCCGGGTTGGTCTCGCTGGGTCTGCAACCGGGATCCCACACGTTGATAGGTCTCTACAGCCAGAACTGTCCGGAGTGGATCCTCACGGAGCAGGCGTGCTACACGTACTCCCTCGTCGTCGTGCCCCTCTACGACACCCTGGGCCCCGATGCCTGCGCCTTCATCATCAACCAGGCTGAGATCAACCTGGTGGTCTGCGAGAACGACAAGAAGTGCAATTTGCTACTCGACAAGGCACCGAGGTACGTGACGTTTCGTTCAGAGCGAATTCGTCCAACTAGACAACGCGAAAAACCATCGACTGATGGCCAAAACCCTAGACTTCGAATAAATCTGAAGTTTGCCGATGCGTTTCTCTCATTTCATTCTTTGGAAAATGTTCAACAGATCTTCAGATTTATTCGAAGTCTAGTGTTTTGCCAATCACTGCGACTAACCCAGCCCCCATTTCCCTCCTAGATGCCTGAGGAAGCTGGTGGTGATAAAGGAAACGCGACCAGCGACCATCCAGAGGGCGAAGAACCGAGGCGTCGAGGTGGTGAGGTTCGAGGACGTCGAGCGTCTCGGCGCGCAAAAGAACCACCCCGAGGTGCCGCCGAACGTGACCGACCTCTGCACGATATGCTACACTTCCGGTACCACCGGGAACCCGAAGGGCGTAATGCTGACCCACCAGAACGTGATGGCGGGCGTCTGCGCGGTTCTGTTGCAGCTGGGCGAGCACAAGCCCTCGTACAAGGACACGATGATCAGCTTCTTGCCTCTGGCACACATGTTGGAACGGTGCTGCGAGAACGGCATGTACATGGTGGGCGGGTCCGTGGGCTTTTACAGCGGTGACATCAAAACGTTGCCCGAGGATATGAAAGCCTTGAGGCCTACCGTCATGCCAGCGGTACCGAGGCTCTTGAATCGAATGTACGACAAGGTGAGCGCTGCTTGCGACATCCCCGAGTTTCCCAACGTTCCCGACCACCTGGTTGCTATTCACTGTTTACCGACACTGCGGATGTTTGCGCGTCGGGGAAACGATGGGGCAGGCGGAGGTCGAAGCGAGATTTCAAGCTGGATTCAATGGTGTAAACAACAAAATGTTTGAACGATTCTTTTACATTTTTGAAAAAAAAAAGAGAATCATAAAAATTGTTTCTCTTGATTCGATGAGAAACGCTTGAACCGGACAAATTCGATGCCCATCTTCCTCGATAGTTAAAGTCAGCTTCGTTTCCGCTTGTAGAATGAGACCCGTTTCCAAATACATACAAGGGAAGGCTCAGAAGTGATACTCACCGATTGTAATGAAATTTGGTAGAGTGATAGATCTATGTTTAGAATAAGCGTAATTGTATTAAATTGTGTTAAATATTTCTGTTCAAGTGGTATAGGTCAGCGGCATAGTGGCTTGCATGGGCTTTTACTACATATTTAAACTAACTTTTCTTAAAAATGGCTGGCCATCTATTTATTCTATATAGATATATCTATGTAGATATATGTAGATCTATCACTCTACCAAATTTCATTGCAATCGGTGAGTATCACTTCTGAGCCTTCCCTTGGTAGTCGAAAGAGTGTCTGACTCGCGAACCAATATTACTGGAGTTGGGAACTCCACTTCAACCTACTCAACTGAAAGCTTCACCAATGAATCTCCTCTCTGCACGCCAGTACAGCAGTGCAGAGAAGAGATTCATTGGTGAAATGGTTCGAGCGAGGTACGAGATTTTTTTAGTTTTACACGGCGAATCGATTCGAAGTCGAATGAAAATGGACTACGCGATCCTGTATCGCGTCAAAGTACAGAGTACTCGGAGGTATGATTTTTTCCTCGCGAAGAATCGACACTCTTAGACGTTAAACGACCACCTAACCAGGTCTTCACCTTTCCAACAACGATAATATCTTCGAATTAATGAACTCGAGGCATCAACCGTGACAAAAAGTGCGACGTAAGGCGAGGCATTAAGGCTCGTAGGAATTAATAGACGTGCCTCAAATCGTAGCACTTTTTCGTCATACTTTTTGCCAATAAAACACTTTCGTGTTAAAAAAAGCATTCAGAAGCATGTTTAGGAAATGATTTTTTCCCTGCCATTTGGGATACGGTGTGGCCCGCGCTCAAGTTATATTCTTAGCGATCAAAGTTAGGAGAATCCGAAGGCGTGGAGATATTTTCGAATGCTCACGCGCAAGGACGATGGTGCTGAATGAGCTATAGGCGACGGAGATCTTCACGGTGCTCTTGGAATTCGGGATGCGTATCGCCAATTAAGCGTCGAATGAATCAACAAAGTAGAAGAATTATTTCTACGACCGACGCCGACGGATGCATGGAAGTGCGAGGTCGCGCGCGCGTTCATTAACGCCGGGGCTATTTATTTGGAACCGTGTAATTGATCGAGAACAGAATTTCTCGGAGGTTGTATAACGGTTAACAAATTTCGACGGCACCGTTTGTCAGTGGTAATTGGACGGATCTCTCGCGTCGGATCCCCGAGCTTGACTGACAGTTGCATTAGCAGATTTCCAGACGTGTAAACGTGCGTCTCGCACAACTTCTGCCGTTCCACTGACGTCGTTTATATAGGAAAGTGTTGCCACGTTGTTTTCGCAAAAAGTAACGAATTACTCCACTTTACTCGTGCCACGATTAAATGGCCCAGACGAGGTTGATCGTTTAGTGAGCCAGAAATTTTCTTGGAGTGGCTCTTCAACACTTTTTTTAAATTTATAGCGTTGATATTCTGACTCTGACTTAGTTGGAACTTTCTTCTAAGCAGTCCTGACGCACGTGAATTTTCTCTTCGTGACACGAAATTATTAGTCTGTGCACATATTTTTTGTTTTTAATTTATTTTAAATCTCAATGGAGATTTATAAAGAAACGAGTACAAGGTGTAAGAAAGGACATAATTAACTTGTTACAATGATATGTACATTAAACTATTGCTACTTATGAGTAATCTTAAGCTTCTGTGCACATATTTCGTATGCATAATTTAAACACATGTCAGATTATTTATTAAGCTCGGCAATTGAGGTCGGATGCGATTCTACCGTGGCCACTTGGTTCTCCGATAAATCGATTCAAGCGGGTCCCTAGTCGTTCCAGGGATAATCGATGGAAGCCTCGATTCTTTGTCGTAAAATCTCTTGTACCGCAAAAGCATCACATCACCGCGTATCGTGGTCTCATTGAGGTGTCAACAGTGCCCAATCGCCACTGTGGCAAATGCAGGTCGAGAACGTAACAGCCAACACGACGAAACAGGTGGCGAACCCGTTTCCATCGCGCCCGTGAAATCTCGAATGAATGGAATTCGCGTATTGTGCGTGCGTATACATAGCAATTCTACGCGTCGAATTCGTCACGCGACACACGTGTACTTGCGCCCGTCCCAAGATCGAGGATCCAACGACGGGCTACCTTGCGAAATAAGAGTTTCGTTTATATTTATTTTACGTGTATCGATTAATGTTTAACTCGTACATGTAAAATTTAGTAGTAACTTCGCAAAAATATAATTATTGAATTCTTTCCAAGTACAATATAAAAGAAAATTACGAGTTGTCTTTCAGGCTTATCTTAGTTTCTGTTATTTATAATTGTATTATTATTCTGAATTTCAAATTTACGTGTCGCTTTCATCGAGCCAAACGAAACCCATCGAGTACCCCTGTCGAACCACACGTGGCGCGTATGATCATCCACGACTCACTCGACGCGTCGCGCAAGTAAATGTACTTCGCGAGAATTCATTTGACGGAACGCGAGGCTTCAAACGGTGCAGAAATAAGTCGAATAGAAATAGACTTCAAACAAACTACGAGAGCCCGCGTGAAATCGAATTATCCCCGCGGCAAACGAGCTCGCCGAAAGGGAGAAGCTAGCGACCGAAGGTGATCGTTCAAATTTCAAAACTGTCGCCGTCGACACCGACCATTGGCGTGTGCTCGCTTTGGCAACCATCGTTCCCAGATGTGCTCGCGATGGAAGCGTGCTCGAGATTACAAATCCCTCGACCGATGAATCGATCGTTCGAAACGAGTCGATGCTTTGCAACCCCGCCGATTGCCAACGTCCCTTGCAGCCAGCTTTCGAGCCTACTCGACACGATGGCCGCGTTAAATATAGAATCGATACCGAACGCTACCAATCGATGTTTTCAGGTCCAATCCGAACTGCAGAGCTCGTGCCTGAAGAAGCTGGTGTTCAGCATGGGGATGCGTGCGAAAGAGGCGGAGATCAAGAAGGGTATCCTCAGGAATAACAGCGTGTGGGACAAGCTGGCCTTCGGGAAGATCAAGGAGGCGACTGGCGGGAGGCTGAGACTGATGGTCGTAGGATCTGCGCCTCTCGCGGGGAACGTCCTCACCTTCGCCAGGTGTGCCCTTGGATGCCTGATCGTCGAAGGGTACGGGCAAACAGAGTGCTGCGCACCGGTCACTCTCACGATTCAGGTTGGTGGTATCCACTGGATATACTATCTCGACGTTTTTAAATTCTTCAGAATCCTTTCGAGGGGTTAAACGCTCCTGGACATTCTCGAGAGAGATTCTCAGAGTTTGGTTGAACTATTCGTTTCTTTTCAAATTCGTTTACGTTGGGTGAAAGTACACTTGTTCCATACTTTCGTATCATAATAGCCCATGCCTTGAAAAACTGGGCGGACCGGCCCGGGATTCGAACCCGGGCTTCTCAGCGTGGTAGTTGGGTCCTTTTTTTTAAAAATATATATTTATAAAATATATACTTCTTAACAATTTTGTATAAAGTATATTTACATTTATAAATATTAGGTGGACTGGAAAGTAATGTCAGCTCATTGATTTTTCACATTAATGTACAACATAAATGCAGTATTTGATTGAAACAAAAATTGTGATATGCAAGAATATAATCATTTTCATTAACGAAATAATATTATTTAATTTAATTATTAAACTACATTTAGCCCATTCCGCGTACTGCGTGCATCAAGCTTTTGGAACAAGCTTTCTTAGTATCTGTTTACAGGAAATGCGACGTTCGTTATCCATAAATTTTTGTCTATGTCGTTATTAAATTCCTAGAATATTACTTTTAAACAGTAATAGCACATATTTTCCATCCGATTGACATTATTTACACGACTATATAGGAAACCGAAGATATTAAGCCTTCGTCGATTAGACAGTAAACATAGTTGAATTTATTGTTGACGGTTGTTTACAACGATTCGTAACACGAGCACTAAAAATTCCGACGAGTTTATTATCCGGGCATCAAAGACCGTCAGTTTCAGTGCTCGTAATTTATTTCGAGTTCGTCCTAAAAAAAGGTGGGGCTCCCCTAACCCAGACCTCGGAAAACTGTTTGCGAAATGCTGATTCCCAGCTGATTCCATTTGAAGCCTTCGAAAAATCTACAAAATTTAAATCGAACGAAATAACCGGAAGACTGTTACGAAAAAACGGGAAATGCTCTTTAAAAACCGCGCGCGACGTTTCGCTGAAATATTTTATTCCGTCTGATCGAATTCAAATTCGAAAAGAAAGGAACCGAGGTTACGACACAACTCGATACGTTGAATGGAATTCAAAGAGGGAAACAAGTGTAGCTCGTATTAACAGACGTTTCAGCTCGAGGCAAATACATATATCCCGTGTCTCGGCGGAGCTGGCGGTCAATAAACGTGCCGCAAATAAATTGCTCGTGCAGCCACTGTGCCGAAGTCACGAGATATATGCGATCTTTGACGAGTTAGAAAAATAGCCAGGACCAGGATTGAGAAATAAATCAACTCGCGGGTATTAACGAATTTAAGTATCTGTCCGTTCCTACGCGTATCAGGGGGTTTCTAGTAGTCGTAAACTGTGCAAACAAACATTCACGGCTCGTAGGCAACTGGCAGAAAGCGATATCTCGCCGATTCTCAACGTTTCGGAAATTTAATTCGCGTTAAATTCGAATAGCACTATGACACGATACAAATTCTTTTTAATCCAGTGTTTTTATTTCTCTTTAATATAACTACTTTCGATTTAGAGAAATTAAAATTACAGTGCTTTCGTTTATCTCGTACACCATTAAAATATCCCGTTCAAATATTATTACACGAATTAATATTAAAATAGAGACCGATACTAATAACGAAACGAAAACAAAGAAGAATGAATCGCTTTACATAACGTTTAACAAAGTCATCCGATCTGACTTCAATCGAGGGATGACTAACGATCAAGTGACACGCATGGTCACTATTTTTATCGCGTTTACTGGTATCGATTTACCTAGACGACATGAGTTATTTATTTATAGGCGAGCGTAGATATTTACGCTGACTAATCGAACAAACGATTTTTGCAACCACGCGCCAAAGCACGTGGCTAGTCACGTCAATTGTACAATCAGACGTATGTATTAAAACGTATGTGCAACTTCTGTAAAATATTGCATCGCTCGAGCGTAGTCGCCAATTGTTAAAATGATTTATTTAACTGGAACGTTGCACGTCATCGGAAATTTCTACAGACACGATACGTTCCAATCGGTTCGATTCGATGGAAAATTTTGAAAACATTACATTCATATTGCATTTCAACATTTTACTGACTGGTAGCGATTAGGTTTATAATTAAATTCGATAATATTTTTGTTTTATTTCGACAACATTTGTGTCGTTCAATCTTTATATTACCCTTGAATCGTAATGACGAGAGCTTTAAATGTTATCTCAATAATAGATAAAAACGTTACTTAAGTTAAAGTTAATATAGATAAAAAAGTTGAAATCGATTAACGATCTTTTCGCGATCGCAGGGTGATCATGTACCGGAACACGTGGGACCACCTGTCGCTTGCTGCTGCATTAAATTAGTAGACGTCCCGGAAATGGAATACTACGCCAAGAAGAGCAAAGGTGAAGTGTGCGTAAAAGGTACTAACGTGTTCGTGGGATATTTTAAGGATCCTGAAAAAACTGCTCAAGTTATCGATGAATTTGGGTGGCACCATACAGGGGACATCGGCATGTGGTTGCCTGTAAGACACGAAAATATTATTAACACATTTCCACAATCGATTTACCATATTTTTTTTTTTTTTATAGCTGTTTTTTATTCAGCATTTGTTCCTTTCTTTCGATGTCCTTGTAATAAAAAGAAAAGTATTATGATTTATCTCCTTCATTTTCTATCGGATGCAAATACATAGTTGGAATTAATTTTGGAATAAAGTTAGATGATTATATCGTTAATCGTTTATACCAATTTACTTCTTGCAGAACGGAACGCTCAAAATAATCGATCGAAAGAAACACATCTTCAAATTGTCGCAAGGCGAATACATAGTTCCAGAGAAGATCGAAAATATTTATTTACGCAGTCAATATGTACATCAAGTATTTGTCCATGGAGAGTCCCTAAAGTCTTGCGTCGTAGGAATAGTAATACCAGACGTGGATGTTGTGAAATGTTGGGCGGTGGAGAATGGTATACCAGGTACACTAAGCGTGTTATGCAACAATCCGCAAGTTAAACAGTTGATCCTGGATGATATGCTCGCATGGGGAAAAGAAGCTGGTCTCAAATCCTTTGAACAGGTAAACAAAATTATATTTGAAGCCATTTAACGAGTCATTGATAGCTTCATTTAAGAAGTAAAGTTTCCTCTGTAAGTACAAAAAAGAAATCTTTATTAATTTCAATGAATTATAGCACTTCTAGATAGCTCACGGTAGAACTAAAAATTTAATAACAATTTAACAGAAAAATGTCAAAATAAATGATTAATTAATTTTGTTTTGAAAAGAAATTATAAACAATGATTTTATTTCTGTTAACATTAGGTCAAAGATATTTATTTACACCCGGATCCGTTCTCTGTACAAAATGGCCTCCTCACGCCAACATTGAAAACGAAACGGCCGCAGTTGAAAGAGTACTTCAAACCACAGATCGAAGATCTTTACCGACATTTGGACTGACCAGACTGAACATTCACTTCGAATTGTTTTCATTAGCATTGGGAGCAGCAAAGACAAGAAGGACCGAAAATGCCTTTGTGTTGCATTCACAGAAATCACTTCCGTCATCGAATATATTCGTTATTCCGCGATACTTTATTATATCATTTTCACAGTTACATAGCGACGCAAAAACGAAAAGCACCGTTTAGGCTATTAAGGTAATTGACAATATTATAAGTAATAAAAATGAGTTATTATTAGGCGCGTCTGATTTTCTCTTGACTATGATAATCCTTCGATACTCTTTGCGTGTAATTACAGTCTTCTCCGTCCCCAAATCCTTATATTTTGATACGGATTACTACCTAACTATAAATGCATAGTTTTATTAATAACAATAATTAGTCGGATAACCGTACATACGTATTATCAAATGCGATCGAACACGTGCGGGAGATGCAAAACAATAAATTGCGTAATGAACAACTCGTAGCGAAGTTGATTAGAAATATCGTTAAACTTTTTAATAGATGCTTGTTAGCAGCGTTTGCTGATATAATAGAACAGATCAAATTTTTTTTTTTTATTACTAATAACACATTATATTTTCGTCTGTTCGACGACCGATATATGAAATTTAAGCATTTCTTAATGCGTCATACGATATCGGTAGAAATTTAATATGAAACAGAGTATATAAAAATTAGAAGTATAGACTGTTTAAATTATAGTAATATACAATGATCCAAACAAGTAAAAAGAACAATAAAAGGATATGTTACGACATCTCTTCAATTTATAATTTAATAATATTACCTAACAGACATTGCATTTAAGAGAATAATAACATCTAAAACTCACTGATAATAAATATGGACTTCAAGTCGTATCTCGAGCAATAAAACAATCTACTCGCATATTTAGCTTTTAGATTTAAAGCTATAGTACACGACCACGCAAGCAACAATTATAAGCGTTAACGCTACTCCAGCTAAAATAATTCTTTGCTGAACGTTTCTTAGTATCATTCCTGATAGTAACCGTGAACCGCGTCCTAGCTCCGCATCTGTCTCTCGTAACTAAAACAATAAATAAATTATTAAAACTAATAAAATCCTTCTAATAAAATTAAATATTGCTATGTTGAAATTAACATCTTACCCTTCCTCTGCCTCTTTGGATCGTTTCTCTTTGCTCGTGCAGGTCTTTCAATACCTGAGCACCAATTTCTTCTGTTTCTAATACCATTCGATAACCATTTTGTAATGTTCTTCCAGAGCGATCTATTCGCTCAGAAGTATCCAATAATCTTTTCTTTTGATCCTCTGTGATATTGTTTTCCCAAGAATCTTCTCTGCTTATTTCGATACTATCGTCTCTTGGCTTCTTCGCTAATTGGAATTCTTGTGTCAATCGTTTCAGTTCTGCTCTGTGGCTTTCTACACGACCACGTAATCGATCGCGAGCTGCACCAGTCACCCCACGAACTTCCAATTCCATCTGCTCGAGCTACAAATTGAATGTTTACAATTAAATATCAAAGTGTAAAAAATTGTATGTTACTAACCAAACTCATTGAAAATAGATATTAAAACATAAATGATTCATGATTATTGTATTTGTGTTTATAAGTATTCATGACAAAGCAAAAATTAACAGTGAATCATTTCTAACCCCTAACTATGACACATGAATTTTTCAGTTTCTACACACTCGAAACATTTATTTAAAAAAAGTAACATTAATTTTGAAGGGTAAACCGATTTTTTCTCTTACCAGTTCTTGAGCTTCTTCGATCTGTCTGTCCACATCTTGAATGAACGCTCTTTTCTCATCTGCAAATTACGTCACGTGTATCGATTAATGTTGTTTAATAATGCCAGGATACAGACAACGTTCACATGAAAAATAACAATCAATGCCTTGCGAAGGGACTGTTATGATGATTTCATTTTTCTCATACTTACTGCCGCTTTGGGTTCTTATTCTACCAATTTTTGCAGTAACGTCAGCTGTCAAAACGGCGTATTGTTGCTCATAGTTGTCAATGAGCGACGCCATCTTAAACGTATTTCCATTGACAATAAGCAAATGGGGAGTAAACTAAACATTTAACACTGGATACGTATAGTAAGTTGTAACAGTACGTTCTGAAATCAGCTGAGAAGCTGAGAACAATTTGTCTGCGTTCCACCCTCTGGACTATACAGGGTGTCCCAAAAATGTTGTAACACCTTGAAAGGGGTGATTCAGGAGGTAATTTGAAACAACTTTTTCCTTAGCAAAAATGTTGTCCAAGGCTTCGTTGAGGAGACATTAAAGGAAAACACTGACCAATCAGAGCGCGCTCATACGCTACCGCGGCCGCTCCAACGGTATATGCGCGATCTGATTGGTCGGAGTTTTTTGTTAATATCTGTTTAACGAAGTCTCGGACAACATTTTCGCTAAGGAAAAAGTTCTTTCAAATCATCTCCCGAACCACCCCTTTTAAGGTGTTACAACATTTTTGGGACACCCTGTATTTTTAAAATACCAGTGGCGTCATCGGTGGGAAAACGCCCAAGTTTGTAGTCAAAATAGTTTCCACTAGTGTTGCTAGATGGCACCACTGTATCTTTCAATCAATTATTCTTCATTCCTCAATTTAAATAAAATAATAAATGTATAAAATGATGTGTTAATATGTAAAATTAATCATTTTTATGAATAATTATTTAGTGTAGCAATAATTATCGACCTTTTAATTAGTGGCGTCATCTAGCACCAATAATGAGGTACTATTGTCACTACAAACTTTTCGGTTCCCCACCGATGGCACCACTAACAATGTTAAAATTTAACCGTAGGAACAAATGTATATAAACACTTTTACATTATTAATTCGATTGTACATATGAAAATTTATATTCATTTAATAAGAGACTCGAATAAACAAAAATATATGACTGCCATGGAGTCCACTTGTCGCCATTTATTGATGCGCCTTTACTCAGGAGTGTATCATAGGTGTGATGCATAATTGTCAATGAATATTTAAACATATCTCTATCTCTATTATTTTATTTCAAATATTCATATATATATACATTCTTATTGACTGTTTCGCTGCAGAACTGTAATTATTATATATAAGCAGTAGCTTATATAAGTTCCACTAAATGTCAATCCCATTGCAAGTCATGTGGTCTTGGATATGTACTCAAGTTTCCTTCCACTGGACGAAAACAGAAAAATTATAGCGAGAAAAACGACATTTCAGAAACTTCGATAATACTAAATATGGTATAAACTGATCCATGAAGTCTTTTCGAATTTTTGGATCCTCTATAACGCCATATTCTCATATGACACGTCCACAAAACTGAAACAGTATTCTATTCAAAGCATGATTCTTGTTTGGTAGAAAATTACAAAATTTTCGTTGAGCGTTTCATCTAGTGAATGAAATATCGTTCGATAACAAAAGTTTCTGTAATAAGAGAGTAATAAAATCACGGTGAAAGACAAAATCTTTGAAATGTGGCCACAAAATTGACACGTCATTGTTAATACACCAATCGTAAGGGGAATTTAGGTGGTTCCACCAATCATTCAAACGCTTACAGAACAGGGTCGACCATGGTCAACGGAGTAGAGAGTAGACAGTCGAAAATGAAGATGGCCGCCGAGGTGAGGTGGCTTTTGATTTTTCATATATTTTCTGTAATTAACGTTGTCCTCGGAGAGTTGCCTCATCGGAAATTCGAGTATAAATATTCTTTTAAACCACCGTATCTCGCACAAAAAGATGGAAGTGTGCCTTTCTGGGAATACGGGGGAAGTAAGTACAAGTGAAACCTAACCAAGTACACCTGTAAAACACTTCCGTATGTTATTTTCTCGTAGTCGGCTTTTCGATTATTTGATTGAAATGCATCGTTATATCGTTTCCAAACGTAAATCTCGATCAAATCTTTTTCCCGCGAATACTTAACGTATAAATTTCATATTATTTACGTGACAGAACTGGGTTAAACTCGCGACAGATGTACATGTTTTTATTTACATTAGAAACTAATTTAATTGGTCTTGAAAATCAACAGAAAGTGATATAAAATTCGACTATTTCGACAAATAAATAGAATTTCCTTTTTATTAATATAATATTGTAGTACATGCATGTACGGTTTTAATTGATATTTCTGCTATTAATTTTCGTACTTATTATACTTTATTCGTTTATACTATAATTCATTATTTGGATTATTCAGAAAAATATATATTTATATTACAGATGCAATTGCTAGTGCAGAGAATGTTAGGGTAGCTCCATCATTGAGGAGTCAAAAAGGTATATGACAAATAATAATGTATATAATATTTATTTTGCATTTTACTTTTTATTATATGAAAATCTAAATTAATGCTTAGGTGCAATATGGGTCAAACAGCCAGTTCTCTGTGAATGGTGGGAGGTAGAGTTAATATTTAGAATAACAGGAAGAGGAAGGATTGGAGCAGATGGATTAGCATTTTGGTATACTACTACAAAGGGTGCCTATAATGGCACAGTTTTTGGTAGTTCTGATCAATGGAATGGTCTTGGAATCTTCTTTGATTCCTTTGACAATGATAACAAACACAACAACCCTTATATCATGGCTGTTCTGAATGACGGCACAAAATCCTTCGATCATACAAAGTGAATTACATCTTTCACTATTTTTTTAACATGCATTAAAAGTTCCAATAAATGATCTTGTATTTTAACTTTTATACAGTGATGGTACAACGCAATTATCCGCTGGTTGCTTGCGCGATTTTCGTAATAAACCATTTGCTACAAGAGCAAAAATTGAGTACTATCAGAATACTTTAACTGTAAGCATATATTCGTGTACAATTTATTTTTAATATTAACATCAGAATTACCGATGGTTCATCTCTTTAATATTTAATTGTAGCTATTGTTCCATAATGGCATGACGAATAACGAACAAGATTATGAAATGTGTTTCCGAGTTGAAAATGTGGTTTTACCGAGAGGCGGATATTTTGGTGTTTCGGCTGCTACTGGTATTTATCTTCTAAATAAAAGAGTGAAATTATTATCCATTCTACCCGCAAAAATTAATTGATTTTCAATCATTTTTTCTAGGTGGTTTAGCTGATGATCATGATGTTTCTCATTTCTTAACACATTCTCTATATCCTCCTGGTCAATTGAGGGCTGATGGACAGAAAGTTTCTTTAGAGGAACAGCAAAAACTTAGCCAAGAATACTTAGATTACCAAAGGAAATTAGAACAGCAGAAAGAGGATTACCGCCGGTTAGAAAAAATAAAATTAAAGGTCTAAAATTAAATAGGAAATTTGTTTTTAAAAATAATTCAATTGTTTAGGGATCATCCAGATGAACACCGGCAAAAAGAGGAATTTGAAGAATATTTTGAAAATGACAATCAGCGAGAACTGCGACAAATCTTTGATGGTCAAAGTCAAATGTTTGATGCGTTGCGCGAGCTTCATAATAAATTGGATGAAATACTTGGAAGACAGGAAAGAACTTTAAGTTTAGTATCTCAAGCTCAATTAGGAGGTAACATTGTTAAAACTGGAACAGGAGATCACTTTCAAGCAATTGACTCTATACGTCGACATGAGGTCGACAATCTATTGAGTAACCAAAAACTGATAATAAATACAGCCAATGAGATTAAATCCTTTGTAAATGATGTGTATTCTAAAGCTGATACTATCATTAATAATCAAGCTCGTGCTCCAACGGCTCAGGTATTTGCTTG